AACGGCCTGTGGCATCTGCCAGCAAATGAAGGTTAACACGCATCCAGCCCGTCCGCCCATCACCCCCATTCGACCCCACGCAAATGCCAAGCCCTTCAGCACATTCTCGTGCGATTACATCACCGACTTGCCACCGTCCAACGGCTTCGATTCAATTCTGGTCGTAGTGGACCACGACCTTACGAAGGGGGTAATTTTCATCCCATGCAACAAAACAATTGATGCTCTTGGGACGGCAGACGCAATGTACCGAGAGGTCTACAAGTGGTTTGGACTCCCAGACAAGATCATCAGTGACCGAGGACCGCAATTTGCGTCCAAAGTCTTCCAAGAACTATGCAAAATGACTGGAGTTCAATCAGCCATGAGTACAGCATTCCATCCGCAAACCGATGGCGAGACAGAACGAGTGAACCAAGAGCTGGAGATCTACCTCCGCTGCTTCACTGCCAATGACCCGGATAAGTGGGCTGACCATCTTCACACCGCGCAATTTGCTCACAACTCCCGCGAGCACTCCACGACGAAGGCGTCCCCGTTCAAACTCATGATGGGATACGAACCTCGTGGAATACCCACCGCGCACCCCGGATCAAACACGCCGCAAGCAGCTTATCGCCTCAAGGACTTGCAAAACATCCGTGAGGAAGCACATGCGGCAATGGAGATGACCCAGAACGTCCTGGCCAAGAGAATAAAAATGAAGGGGGGTTCCTTCCGTAAAGGTCAGCTGGTATGGCTAGACTCCCGGAACTTGAAGCTGCCGTACCCGTCCAGGAAACTAGCCCCGAGGCGAGAAGGGCCGTTCAAAGTCCTAGATAAGATTGGAACAGTCGCGTACAAGCTAGACTTGCCTAGCACCTGGCGAGTCCACCCCGTTTTCCACGAATGGCTTCTATCTCCCTACTCGGAGACGGAGATCCATGGTCCAAACTACACGAGGCCACCTCCTGACCTTATCGAGGGCGAAGATAACTACGAAGTCAAAGCCATCATCGGACACCGAGAGAACAAGAGGATGCCACGCCGGGAATATCGTGTCAGGTGGAAGGGTTACTCAACAGCCGATGACTCATGGGAGCCCGAAGCAAACCTGACTGGGACGGCTGACGAAGTGTTGGCAGAGTATAAGAACAGGAAGGACTTGAGCTGAATCGATAGCAGCTCTATCCAGTCGCTACATCCCCACTCGCATCAACATGTCTTCCACCCTCCCGTTCCTCGACCAGTTCAACGCCCCTTCAACCGAAGGCGGAAAGAGGATCTCAATCTACACCCCTAAGCACACCCACGTCGGCGACAGCACTTTGCTGACGCTCCCTCTCAGTAACCCCACCGACGTTTTCAACAAGCTCAAAGCCCACAACCCTGAGGCAACCAATGCCACCGACCACGCTGCACTAGAGGCGTATCTCTCCGCCCGCCGCGAATACGACGAGGCTGTCAAGGCAGCCGACGAGGCCATTGACCACCACAAGCGGCTCCTACGCCAACAGGACGACCGCGTCCTCACCGAGCTCATCCGGCTTGACAATCTGAAAGTTGCCCATCGCTTTCAACCGCTCTTACCACGCAGCATCCGGGCACGGCACAACAAATTCATCCCGCGCGCCATCCCCAACGCGTACTTACCCCTACCCGCACCCCTACCGACGTCTGCCTTCAGGCGCCCCCCGATCCCATCCCCTTTCCTCCAAGCAATGCCGTGGAGCACTACCATCCCGGCAGACTGGCAACCCAACCCTGGTTGGACCCCAAAGGGAAGCTGCAGGTGATGCGGATCGTCTCGACACTGGGTACGGGACTGTCTGGACGTACGATGCGCAGGATGCGGAAAAGAAGCCCCTGGACACCTGGAGCGAGAGTGCGGAACCAGGCCGATGAAGCGACACATATCCGCACCACCTGAAGAACCTGCGCGACGCGTGGGGGTGGTCGTCGACAACATGTTCCTCGAGGGAATCATCAACGAGGCGAAGGAGAGGAAGGAGAAAGAAAGACAGACGAAAGTGGTACCTATCCCTCCACTGCGCAGTGCTAACCCTGAACCCCTGGCCAGTCCCGTCGCGGGACCCTCGCACCCCCGCCCCGATACACCCGTCGTCTTTCGCAAAGTCGACCCTGACTGGACACCGGACACCACTCAATGGATGTGGGACAGCTCCTGGCCGCATCAGAAGCACCTCTCTGGCGAGGAATGGATGAATGTGGGGAGGAATGCGCGCAAGGAGTGGTTCGACGAAGAAGAGGATGACGGCGTAGATTGGGAGCTATACGGAGATGGTGAGCAGTAAGTAGTCGAATGGGACTTCGACTCTGGCAGGGGGGTAATGAAACATTTGTCTTTCCGTTCTATTCCTTGTACTACTAGTGCCCATACTGGCGCCTGTCTTAGTGCTCACCCGCAGGTTGAACATTATGTAGCTTACATAATGGGGTCCGTGCGCACTTCGTACCCGGTATTGTGCCACTACGTTTCTTTCTTTACTAAACACGTCCACACAGACACGATGGTCCATGCGTAGCCGGTACTTGTATAAGTAGTTGTACCATTAGTTGGTCGAACCCTAAGTTCGACCTGGTTATTCATTCAAGTCTCTGCTCCTCCTCGCTTGGGGTAGTGGTCATTCTCGACTTCCTTGCTCGATCTTCAGGACGATGCACTGTCCATAAGCCCTCGCTCGTCGTCTACGAGTCAGGCATCGATATAGGAGTATAGACCGTTGTATCACCGGTGAGTCAGAGCAGCTGTGTCAGCAGAGCCCGAGCTGTGCCGTGCACGGCCGCCCATCTAATCTAATTGTACAGTAGATAATGACATGTCCGTTCGAGCATATAGTACAGAGGTCACGGGTTCGAACCCATGGAAAGGAAAAAATTAAAAAACAGCTAGACACCATACCAACTCGTGACAATTATCTACTCACGCATTTGGAAAGTAAGCCGAAATAGTCCCTACAAAGAGGCACATGAATATCACGTGTGTATGTGATGTTTTTACAGTAAGCCGAATGGCGTCCATTCGGAAAACTTTCATACATCTCTGAATTTGAGGCATGGTCAAGAATAGAACAATGCGCATCTCTATTCAAAGAGGCGACAAACCTCTTGCAATTGTGGCATCAGTAAATATCTGATGTTTCTCAATGTATGTCTCACTGACTATGTTCTTTACCACAGTTGGACTTTTGCGCGACATGTGGCTTTAGCAAGGATCTTCTTACTTGCCTTGGGTGCAATAAAAAGACATGCATCCGCTCTCTTGACAACCCAACAGGATGCATCACGGGAGAAACACTGCGGGATGAGGACAGAGCATTGTTTAAATGTCCGAAATGCATGCGAAAGGAAAAGGGGCTCATCCCTGTATGTACTTTACTTTCTTACGTATCTTGGCCTGACATAGCACTGCATCCACAGTATATTTGGGTCGGATACTCCCTGGTTCAGATGGATGCAGTGAAGCAGACCTTTCCACTCTTATGGGGCCATCTTGCTCTACCAGATGCATCTACATTCAGTGATCATGTTCTTGCCAAGCTACAAGCTGTTTATGCTGAGCTTCCACAAAATGTCAGTGTCACCCACTTATTTTTAAATGATCAACCCTCATACTCTTAATGTTGTAGCTAGAACACTTCAACTTGCCACTCAATGGCCACGGCGCCAATTCCAAGCGTAATATGGCTCCTTCTCACAAGTTCCTTGATGCCATCGACGGCAAGGCAAATATTCTGATTACTGTGGAATCTCATGCCCATGTGGAATATGGCACTATTGTTTACGGGCCAAAAGCAAATCCCAAATCAACGTCCATTGATCAGGTATGTACCAATTGATCGAAATGATATTGCACATTCTCAATGCAATTGTTTCAGATCCTGAAAGCTTACCTTGGCGACCACTTGCTGCAGAGGATGCGGAGCAATGACACTGAGACCCGTGGTCTAGCTCTTCTAATGTGTGCCCCTGCGTTCACAGTACCGGAACATTTCAACCAGATCCTTGCCCTGGTTCAGGAGTATGCCATTCTTATTCCATCTTCTGACTTTCACTGATAGCTGCTTGTGCAGCAAAACCTTTTCATATGTCATTGGCTTTAGTGGTGGTGGTGTTGTACCTGAAGTCGTTGAAGGCGCTCTGGCCAACTTTGTCGAACAAACAATGGTGCATCAGACCAGCATATGGGATGCCGCCATCCGTCATCTCACCACCTATCATGTGCTGCACCATTCATCTGTCTGCATTGTCTGGGCTGTGCATGATTCACAAGGCACACGAACAGTCCATGCTCGCAACTTGGTGCAGTCGCATATACAAATCCGGATATGGAGTATCGAGTCCACCCTCTTATGCTGGCACGAAGAATGTGTCGCACCTCCAGGAAATGTTCGATTCCACACGCGTCACTTCCGTAGTCTTACAGCTGGAAACGCTCACATCGATGGACAGCCCAGGTTGTGGACAGACCCACACGGAAAGGTGAAATTCATCTGTAGAATTTGCAAGCGTTCCACAGGCTGGATATACAGGCCAGACTACATTCACGCTATCCCGCATCATCCGCAGGTTTTTATTTTATTTTGTTATATTTTTAAACCCAGTTCTATATCTGCTTGTCCCACAGGTTTATTGGCATGCATGGCCGCTCGAACCGAGCATCAGGTACGGCTTCAAAGACCTGCAACAGGCTTCAGAAGAAGCGGTAGAAAAGGCCACAAATGCAAATGCGGCGAAGGAGGCTGAAGATGCAAGAATTGCGGCAAAGGAGGCCGAAGAACAGGCTCGTGCTCTTCTTGCAGAAGTAAGAGGCACCAAACGAAAGTCAGGAGCACAAAGGCGTGCTATGAAGAAAGCAAGGACAGGGGCTGCCACGGAGGAAGGTGACGGGGCACCGAGCATCATCCCCGGCTTCAGGAGCCTGGCTTCAGAAGTACCAAGAATTGCGGAACGGACGGCCGAAGAACAGGCTCGCGCTCTCCCTGCAAAAGCAAGAAAGTCCGGACGCAACCGAAAGTCAGGAGCACAAAGGCGCTCTGAGAAGAATGCGAGGGCAAGGGCTGCCGCGGAGAAGGGTGACGAGGCACCGGTCGAACCAAGCATCGCTTCTGGCTCCAAGAGCCCGCAACCGGCTTCAGAAGTAGCAAGTATTGCGGATCAGGCAGCCGAAGAACAGGCTCGCACTCTCCTTGCAGAAGCGAGAGGCCCAAACCGAATGTCAGGAGCACAAAGACGCCGTGCAAAGAAAGCGATAACAGAGGCTGCCATGGAGATGGGTGATGATAACATTCATGATGCTTGAGCACTTCCGCAAACTCGATGCCTATGTGGGTCTCGCATAACCTGGATTTGATTTCTCGCTTGGTAAAATGGTATATTTGTCGGACATATGGAGTCAAACCAGAGATATAAATCAAATGTGTCTATTTTCATTGCGATACGGTACGTGCATCAGGAGTACGACTCGGCTCTCTGGCATTTCTGGCAGATGTACGGGGTCCAGCACCTGGGCGGCCGGTGCGTGTGCCAAACTTGCGGAATGCACTGTGCCCGCAGATACATTGTAGATATGCGCCGTAAAAGGAGCACCCGGGTGCTCATTCTCGCCGAGTTGAAATGTCGAATAACATGAGATGTGGAGCGTGTTGCGCAGAATCTCATTTGCAACTTCGAGAATTCGAGGCAAGATGGAATGATAGATGGGCGGCCGAGAAGATGCACAACGGCTGCAGCTCGCGAGCAGATCTCGTGAATTCGGACGTAAGTTCGCACCAAGTGCAACGATCACTGACACCAGACCAAGCTTGTGCTGACAGCGGAAGTGATCGGAGGCAGCCACCGTCACCGACAACCGCAGCCCCTGCGATTTGCTATGTAGACGTCGGGGCTGTGATGCACGCGCCGACGCGTCGTGTGTAGCGCCAGTGTTCCAGAACGACTCGGTGGCCACGCCAGCGAACGTGATCCATCTCCAGTGACCGATGTCAACAATTTAGAAGCAAGACACACACACACACACAGATGCTGTTGATAGTACCACACGGCTTGCCCGGGCTCGGCCACGATGAACGACTATGGCGAGCTGAAACGATGCAGGAATGTTTTATGAGCAGGAACGGTCCGTGGGGAGACCATCAAATAGACACACCAACACACGGGTCCACCTCCAGATCGCGCCTCATGTCCGCGTGCGTCCAGCACTGAGGCCGTCTGCGCGGAGACATCACGCGATATTAATGCTCGACTGCATTGATGCGCGCTACGATGAGGTCGGCACACCCGTCCATGGACCGCATATGCCATCACGTCGGCGTGAGGTGGGACTTGGTCACGTACTACTAAATGATCATCCTTGCTCAGCAAATCTGCATCTCACAGCTGTATCAATACAACCCCAGCATACTCATACACGGCATAGGCATTAACTAGTGACTAGCAACATACTACGTGGCAACCCACGTCTCGCACGCATTAAAAACCTTTACATGGATTCCAGTCTTGTACTCACCAGGATTCTCGCCGCGGATATGCGTCGAGTCTATCACAAAAGAAGCCAGAACATTATCGCCTCCGAGTCTTCTTCTGCTGCACCCGTCTCTTCTTTGTCGCATTTCCACTTCCCTGTCCCTGAGGCATGATGGGCTCGGCTGGAGTGTCTTGCGGCGCCGGACCTGTCCTAGCGACACTCGAAGTCGTAACGTCCGTTCCACTCAATCCAGAGTTCGACAACCCCAAGCCAGAGTCCGTGTACATACCCTGAGTCAGCAACGTCTGGGCAGAAGCGAACGACACAGACAGCGAAGATAGTTGCGCAGGCGCATGTGCAAGCGTGGCGTTGTACGCCCCGGCCGCCCGCCCTCGCGTAGACGGGCCCGACATTAGACCCACAGATGTACCAGGGCTGCTGTAGGAGCGCTCGATGGGGGTGGGGATCGGGATCGGGATGGGCCTGTCCGCCTTGCGCGCCGAGACCGACTGGGACCGGCCATGACTTACGGGGGTGCTCGTTGTAGATTCGCTCTGGCGTCGCGGCAGGGGAGCAAGGACCCGAACCGCGTTCTCATCTCCCCGGGCGACTTGGGGCGGTAAGGGTATCAATGCCGGCCGTGCGACCCGTTCGAGAGCAGGAGGCATGTTCACCAGGTCCAGGCCGAGTCCGGATGTGGGTGGAAGAGCCGCTGCCTGCATGCCTTGGATCTTGTGCCCGCAATTTGGACAGTGCACCCCTGGACCGTCGGGGTCTTCCTCGCGGCCGTCATTGTGTCCTGTCGCCGACTGTACTTGCCTTCCGAGTAGGCGCGAACTGGTGCTCGGTGCGATACCGGCCACGGACGCGCCTTTCTTCTGCATTTCCTTCCGGCGCTCGCGCTCTCGCGTGGCTTCAAGCCCTGCACGACAAGCAGCCGTCGGGATTGACATGCGGCCCGAGCGCGTCACCGTAGGTTCAAGCCCTCGTTTGCGCCCTCGATCTTCGCGTGTATCCAGACTCCTTCGCCACTCTAGGAAGGCCCCTGGTCGTACACATTACATACGACGTGACGCGCAAATACACGCACCTTGATAGTGCTCAGACACAGTCATGAATCTGTGCATCGCGGTGTGGCTGAACGGTGGGGAGAACGTGAACTTGAAGTCTACGGGCGATCACATAGGCGGTCAGTGGTGGAAGTCGCAGAATGGGTATGTGGATGCGAGTTACCAATGCCTGTCTCAAAATCATCCACGCTGAGATTGCGCCCTGCATCTCTCGAGCTTGCGATCGCTCCGCTGCAGTAGTCTTCCAAGAGGCCCGCGAGCGACTCATAAAAGTTGTCTATCAGTATCGTTAAGAGCTGCACAAGACTAGTCAAGGCCAGCGGGTAATCGATTCCGTACACCACTTACGACTGGAACCTCTGGGTCCATTTCCTCCGACCTCAAATCAAACCGGAGATGGAGAAACTTCTGGACGTGATGAAGGACCAGCCTGTACTCGTGCAGCGACGTAAAGTCTTCCTGACGGCCCTGCTGTGATGCCAGGGCGTCTGCGCACAGCTTTTCGATATAGCCTGACGATATGTACTCTGGATGATCCTGTGCGTTGCAGGTATTGGCAACGCACATACTGAGAAGAAGACATGCACGCACCAAACTAAAGCCAGCAGGAGGTAGCCAAGGGCGTGACCTTCGATCGCGACTCTCCGGGTTGACATACAACCAAGGGGCATGCTCCTCAGCGTATCTTTGTAGCCTCCTGAGGGTATTACTAAGGCTGCCCGTCTCGCTGGAGCTGTTGGAGGTGCTAGCAACGTCGCGGTTGAATTTTGGTGCACCAACTAGGTACTGTATATCTGAATCGTTGGGGCCGATTTCCTCTAGAGAAATTCCAAGCTCAACCACGCTTGCGGGCTCATCGCAATCTGCAGGAAGAGGTGTGCGGGGACTGTGTGCAGCATATAGTGCTGCCTGAACATGCGGGTCGTCCTCACGCTCCGGAAATGCTGGCAGAGACCCGCCGTCTAGCCCCAAATGTGCTATCGGCGGAAGAGAGACATCGGGGAGTGGGGCCTGAGCAATTCCGGGCTCCTTGCTTGAGTCTGTGATGGACCCAGAATCATCAAAATCATCTGATGTCGCTCTTCCTTTCCCTTTGTTTCTCGTAGGGGGTGGCACGGGCGTAACAAGTACAGAGGCAAACTCGCTGTCAGCTGTCGATGTTGTGAAGTCATTGGGCCTTTCAGGATAGGAAAGTTCACCGTCGAAGTCACCAGCAGCGACGAAGGTCGCATCAGTGCGAACGCTTTCTGCAGAACTCTGCGCCCTCGAAGAAGCAACAGCGGCACCGGAATGATCCAGTTGGGATATCCTGGGGTCTTCTCTTTCCGGCTCGTCTGACATCTACAAGGCTGTCAATGGCGAAGAACGCACACCAAAGGAATGAATGTTTCGTACATTGAGGTTCTATGATTGCGCAGAGTAGAGGGAGATGCGCGGACGGATGCCATGGCCTCTCCGCTTATGAGGGCTGCCGCGGCGAGACACAATGGATGCAATCTTCTTTCACCGCCTTTGGTCAAGAAACAGATTGCACTGAAAACAATGAATCGTCACGAAGGTCGAGCTCGTGACGGATTGGATTGTTATGCCTCTCACCGCGTTGTCATTGTGGAGTAACATGTCCACAGCACTGCAGTTGAACAGACGCCTCGTCGTCATCACTATGGATCAGGCGGTGCCAACGACTAACGCTGTTCACGCTGTATGGAGAACGGTCGTCGCTCTATGGTCAATTTATGCCGTGCACGCGTAGGCACAAATGAAATTGTCTTCACTAGCGAGGAGTGGTTAGAGAACGGCATATTCATGCGATCTTTATCATCGGGCTTGAATTTGGCTCTGGACAAGTTGGTGTCGTGCACTCGCCTCGATTGAGTACAGAAGCATTCAAGAATGGCTGCTTCAACAGATCTTTGGAAAAGCAGGGTTTCAGATCATGATGATGAAGTGCAAGGTTCAAGACCAGGGAGATTGAGATACGATCCAGGTGGTCACCCCCCAGCGGTTCGGCGGGGTACACGCCCAGCTCATGTTCGAGCGGGCGGGGTGACACTGACCTAAATGAGAGACTTTGCACGACTGGACGACCCAGACATCAAAGCTCTCACCCCAGGCTCGGCGAGCGGGGGTTCGTGACTTTAACATCTAAGCATGCGAAGACGCCCACCGAATATGACGGGACGTGTGTGCGCAAAGGTGAGAGGGTCACGCGTCATTCAGCGAGCCCTCGGGCTGTCAAGCGCCGTAATGCACGTGATCACTCAGCATCCGGCGCAGACGTTTGGCCTCTATTCCTCGCGCCAGTAGATCGAATGCGATCACGAACAACGCTCGACCTGGGCCCTGCTCTGCTATCAGACCTTCATGAATGCTCACATACCTAGTCGTACGAGTGTTTATCTTATCTGTCTTCTCTATGGTCTGATTCACTAGATAGTAATCGATGCGAAAATGCACCAAAGCTACTGGCAATGCAGTCATATCAGCAAAAACAAACAACTAGCGTGGAGCACAACACCGGTGATTGCATGCGCAGCGGCTGGCCTGGGCTGCAACTGCGCGCCCGATTCCTTTGGCCTTCGGACACCGTGTGTGGCTGATTTATCGTAATTCTGGTGGCCATGGGTGGCACTGGCTATGCCGGGTTGAGAACGCGGCGTGCGCACTGGGAACTGCGGGGCAGCGACCGGGCTGGCTGTTCGGGCGCTGTAAGCGGCAGGGCATGCAGCATGAGCAGGTCTCACGAGGGTGGAGACGCAGCCTGAGTTGATGGACGCGGCGCCACGGTTGTAGTGAGGCAGTGTGCAACTAGACAACAGATGATGTTTCCTTCAGATGTACAATGAGGTATTCAGGCACGCCTTATACCGCTGTATCTGGACTCGTACTGATAAGAGCAACGATGCTCAGGTTGTAGTCAACGTACAAGCTCACAGCTAGCGTCGGCGAGACACCGTGCGATTTCAAAAGGATGACATCGCTACCATGACATTAAACATCAAGCAACACGTGAGAATACAGGGAGTGATGTAGCGGAGACGTTAGTAGAACAATGTGTAGAATACAGTACGCAGCAATACAAACTGGATAAGTTAGCAGTGTGCCCAAAGCCGCAATGTGGGAAAACAGAAGAGTACTAGAAATACAGCGGTTCATGTCGTGATCAAACGACAGAGCCAAAGTCAATGTGCCAGGGTCGTTCCAGCGCCAGTCCATATTTATGATCGTTTGAAATGCGAAATGCGTGCGGGAGCCTCGGTGCGGTGTCCTGCAAGGCATCGATAGTGTCTACGGCCGTAGACGCGTTCACCGCACGCGCAGTGCGCGCAGCTGCTGCTGCACCTCCCTGATGTCGCGCCGGTTCCACTCGCCCGTCCAGCCATTCCCACCGGCGGCCCACACGTGCGACGCACCAAGGTCCAGCGACGCACTGCGTCGGCGGGACTCCCTCTCATTCTCTTGGGGCTCATGGCACTCCTCTCTCCGCATGTCCTTCTGCCGCCTCTCGCGCTCTTGCCTCGAGGGAAAGACGAGGTCGAGCGGGACGTTCTCCCCGAGCGTGCGCGTAAGCTTCGCCATGCGCCGGCGGCGCGCCTCGGGCGCGGACGGCGAGAGCGGGGTCGCGGGCGTGGCGGGCGTTGGGGTCATGGGCGCTGCGGGCAGGCGCGGGTCGGAGGGCGGCATGGGCACGGCGTGCAGGCGGAGGACGAGCGGGCGCGGGAGCTCCTTGCACGCGCGGGGCGTCTTGGGAGACTTGGCCTTTTGTGCCTTGGGCGGGAGCGGGAGAGATGCGGCGAGCGAAGCATAGGAGGAGTTGGTGGACGAGGTGTACAGCGAGCTCGAGGGGGTGCCTGGGCGTGACGAATCGGGGGAGAAGAGGCGGGCGTGTCTGCGGGCGGACTTGGACGACGTGGTGGGCCCGAGGGGGAGCGCGATGGGGATGGGCTCAGGTGCGGGCTCGCGGAGCTGGGGCGTGCTGCCAAGGACGGCACCGAGTTTGCGTGCGGAGCGGATGAGACGGTGACGCTGCTGAGCGTCGAGAATATTGGTCGTGGGAGGTGTAGAGTAGAGGATGGTGGACGTGGCGTTCATGACGGGGTTAGTATGCGATGTAGGCTTAGTCTACAATGTGGGTTGCGCGAAGGAGAACAGGCAGGGCATACGTACCTGGGGATGGCTGTTATAGACTGAGAACAAAGAAAAGCTCCGTAAGAGCCCATCGCGAGCGTGTAAAGAACAATTGGAGAGAGCACAGGCGAGGCAATTGTTGTTGTCCTCCATCAAGTTCCCATCCAGAGCACAATGGCACTGTTAGGCGCCCAAAATCAATACAACACCGCCGAACAAGGAAATTTTGTATCAAGGCGTCATCCCACTCATGCTCAAATGATATGATATTCGAAATGAACTTCAGACACGAGGGGCGAATACACGTGTGGACTTTGGTCGGACTCGCGATGATCAAGCACAGGAAGATTTGTGAACCCACAACGGTCTACCATCTGTGTTGACTTCCATATCGTCGATCTATCATCAGAGATGTCGCATAAATATTCGCCAGAGAAAACATAGCCTTCAAGATCTTTCAGTTGATTTCACAAAAATACAACTGGCTTGATGAGGTGCGAGAGGGGCTATCTGGTACTAAAAAGACCGAAACCTGATATTCAGGCAACTGTGACTCAGAGCCCTAGCTGTTATAAAGATTTGTACTATCATTCTATCTCAGAATCTGCCCAAGCTCGATTTCTCATCCTAGGTGCTGGAGTGCTACACTTGGACCTCGGGAGGCGCAGTCTAGAATCACTTCAGAACAGATCGACAGGTTTTGTGTGCACATGGACCATATATCTACGCATGTATGTAGAGGACAGTATATGGTCACGTCCGGGTCCATAGGCTATTGAGATTAGCTGGTCATTTGGGAGCGCGGCTTGTACTAGCTGCATACCATCCCAGTATCGCTTCAATGAGGAGATAGGGATACATTGCTAACATATCACAATTGTCCTTCATGTTCCTGCCTACATACTAACAATGATACCACAATATGTAGCGACACTGGTGTATCGACAACGAAGATGTTCCGGTTCTCTCAAAGCTGTCTCATGGATGTCATACAAGCTCGCACTCTATCCTCGAGTTTCCACCTCCATTCAAGGATCCGCTGCTCGGGTTCGCGTTGAATGTGGACAGCCATCCAAGCGGCATGTCGGCCCCGACTTTGATCAAACGTCTACTACTTACCCCGCGTGAGGTCCGTGTCGCAAATTGCACCGAACCCCGTGGTTATAGTATACGGTCACAAGTACGCGCGAACCTTAATTTGCATCATCATGGGGTGTCGCGGGCGAGTCTTGCGCGACCGCTCCGAGGTGAAATGGAAGGTATACAGGCTGCGGAAGCATACGTCTGTTTCTGGTTGTCAACAAGACCCTTGGTAAAGTGAGGCCGCATGTAGGTTGTGTTAGGCGGAATCGGTGTGTGTTGGGGGGGGGGGGGGTTCCGGTACAACATGTAGGGTCCTTTCGCAGCAGATTACTGCAAGCGAATCACTGACAATACTGGAATGCTTAGCCGTGAGTATGCCAGATCTGACTCCAATGTTGGCTCTGCAAAATCGACCAGCCGGACACAATGGTGAAGCATCCCTCAGGCGGGGAACTTACAGCCAGCGAAGTTCGAGCGGCTGAAGATTAGCTCTGACGACTAACTCGAGGAGGTCTTTACAGGCTTACTGTGCACGGCGATCGAAGCCATTCAATAGCGGACGTTTAAGCTACGCGAACCGGCAGCAGCAAGCTCAGCACCAATCAGCGACGCAGGATTGGCTATATAAATGGACACACCTCGGGGCCGTCGACGGAGCCCGACTTGTCGATTCTGGTCCGTCCTGATGGCAACCCTGCTTGCTCACTACCATCTCAGGCTAAGGATTCGCCGTGTATGAGCAATGCGACCCCGCTATATAGGGCATTCCCATGCAGTCATTGCTAACCTTGCTGGCTGCCCGTTGCGAGGAACGGTCCTGAATAGTCTCCCAGGTTGCCAGGCACCTGTTGCCTTTGATTCGCTCCTAGTAAATCAACCTCGCCTGCAGAATGTATTGCGCAGTTGCGGAGACCAGGCATTAGAGACGCGGCGGAGACGTACATTCACCTGCTTGCATCTCTGGTGAGATCTAGAGAACAGCACCCGATCCATCGAGGATTCGTCAGGGTCGTGTCCTCCCGACATATTGGCGGCCAAGATAAGCCTTGGGAAATCAGTGGCCTGCAGAATATTCCGACTTTGCGGCCGCCAATGCGAATCGCGTCCACGCTTGAATCGCGTGTAGGGAATCTTCTCAGAGAACGTATTCAGAATGCACAGGGCCTTCCCAAGGAAATACACACCTATATATGTATCTACACGCCTGGCCACCGACTGAGGTTACAAGAGCGGGCGACGACTATGCAGACAGCTGCGAGCCCCCATGACGGCAGCGTGCACGGTGCTCTAGACTCGAGCAGGACATATGTGCCAGGTACTCTCCTGCCTGTATGAGCTCCGCGTGTCCAGCTTGCTCTCACGATTCCAATCTTAGTGGTTGATCGTCGAGGCTGTGCCGGGGTCGGCCATTGGTACGTCGCACATCGCCGGGGGGTCCGCGTAGACCGCGGTGGACCCGAAAGCACTTTGGGACGACGGACATGCTTGGAATCCAGGTCGGCTGCTGCGGTCAGCACGCCTGATGATCGAGAAGACGAACGTTTCTGTGACGGCAGACACTCCGTTGCATGGAAGAAGGGACCAGCAATAGACTGCGTCGTCACTAGCGGGGATTGCTGTGTGCATGAACGCCTGTGAAATGTGAGAACGCGTTTAAGTATCCGGACACCCAGCGCAGTTGACGGGTGTCTCCGCTTCCTGTACATATCTGTCTGATAGAAGCCGCATACGGTCGGTAGGCGGACGTGACTGATCTTCTGGAAAGCGTGTGACGATGCGCGGCCGCCCTCTTGTGGACCAAAGTCTAGACCGAGAACACGGTGCAGAGGCCACGACGCAAACGTACATTGACATAGACAAGAATACACGCCTTATCCACTCACCATCGCGCCCGAGACCGCCCGTCATCAGGCCGACTGTCTCCGCCCCATCGCCTGTCTCTGTGGCGCCGTGCTTCGTCGACCTCTCTGCGGTTGAATACGTCCCCATAACCGACACGTTCGCTCACGCCGCCGTGTACTGTGCTTGGTGTTTCGCTCCCGGCCGCCTCGCGCTTCTTCCGCCGTATCAGCTCAAGCGCGCGCTGCCGCTCGGACGACTCGCGAACCAGCCGTACGTCCGCAGCGCGCTGCTGTCCGCCACTGGAAGCCGCGGGGGCCGCGGGCCGTGGGCGTCTTGACGTCGAAGTAGAGCTCGAGGGCCGTGCGGCCAGCTGGTGTTTTATGGAAGTGAGGGGATCGTTCACGGACTTTCTCGCCAGATCGCGGATCCTGAGGGGTATATTCAGCCAATGGCGAGAGACTGGTCGGCGGAGCTCACTTGCGATCCTCATTCGTCTCTCGCTCCTTACCAGAGGCGCCGTCGGAATACCACGGGTTGAGATCCTTGGCGGCAGGAGCCAGTGGAATGCCCTTCTCTGTTTCTGGTGGAGCCTTCTTTGTGGATCGTGGATCACTGAACATCGACTGTGATATAACAGAAGAGCTTGAGATTAGGGAATCGAGTAGATTCCTGCGTATACGACTCACCCGCTCCAGGTCCTCGAATAGATTGATATGTCCGCCCGAGGCGATAGAAGACGGGCCTGGCTGTAGAGCGGTCTCGTCGCTGTCGTCCTCGTGTCTGTCCTTCGTGCGAGTACCACCCGCTCGTTGCCGCAGAAGATCTATCCGCGCTTCTGAGTCCTACAGAGTAGGTTATGTCGATGCCTACGGCAGTATGCGTGGAGACTCACCGCCAACATCATCCTGCCTTCCTGAATCGCGTCTTTCTCTCGTGCCTCTTCCTCATCTCGGCGTACCCGTTCGATATTATCCCTCCGGTATGGATGATACGACTTGTGATGCGCAATGTTTAGTTTACCCATGGTGGTGTACTGTAGGGCATCAATCGATGGTCGGTTGTTAAACACGGTTCGAACTTACATTTATCCGGGTACGAAGTTGAGTTCAATGGACGCTATCGACGCTGTGGATAGCAGATGCTATGAGAAGAATATATCTGCAATCGTGAGTTCTTAAGCACGAATTGCATTATGTTTCCATGGATGGACTCACAATGGATGGACCGAGTGCAAGATCACAAGCGCCCAAATGCGCGCCGTAAGGAAGTTGCCGATCAAGCCGGCAATTGCCGTCTTAATACCCGAATATGATTAATGCGGAAGACGGCGAATCGGCCACAACAAGATCGAGTCTAAGCGTCGACCCCGGACGCGTTTGTTTTGGGAGATCTCCATAACCATTTGGGATCTCACTCAGAAAGCGCCAGCACGCACGCTGAGAAAGGTAACATGTCATACAATGCATATTGTCCATATGATAGACTGTGCTACTCGTACCCTGGCACAACAGGATCATACTGCTGTACGAAAATATGGAAGTCGGACATGTCGCGGCCCAACGCTGATGTTCATAGAAGTCCTGAGTTGGATATCACGATGGGCACAGAGGGTCGGCGAAGAATGTCGTCCGACTGATACGACTGGATCTTCTTCACGACGTCCATCCCGTAGACGACCTCCCCGAAAACGACATTGCGACCGTCACACCAGGACGCCCGCGAGGTAGTAATGAAGAACTGCGACACGGCATAAATCATGATGTCACGGGGGGCGGGATCAGCATTGACATAAGGCGAAGACTCACATGGGAAGAGTTGGTGTTCGGGCCTCGGTTTGCCATCGACAGTACGCCTGGTCGATCGTGCGTGAGATACAGATTCTCATCTGTGTCAAATGAATATCAGGATCCAAAATCAACGTCCTGTACTCGTCGATGGTACCTGGGAATCGGGGGCCGTATATCGACCGTCCGCCGGCCCCATCTCCACCATGGATGTCTCCGCCCTGAATCCACTACAGGGAGTTTTTCAGTAGCGGGTTGGGGTCTCGTAAAGGAATGTGTACATACATCGGACGTGATACGATGAAAGGTGGAATGCCTGTATCCGAAACCGTGCTCGCCGGTTGCGAGTTCTCGAAAGTTGCGACATGTCATTGGGCAGATATCATCCCGCAGACGAAAGATAATGCGTCCCACAGGCTTTCCCTGAATGGTGACATCAAACTGAGAGATGTCAGGACAAAGGTCAGGCAAGCCGCCACGAATTTCGCAGTACTCACGAATACGTCTGGGCCGCTACGCGCGAGGTGTCAGCGTTGCTGGCTATACGATGAAGACACACGTACTGAGCCATGGATGCTAGGATGGGGGCGTCTGAATATGAGTTGAGGCGGGAGGGGGGACCCAAGCACGAGGGGGCGAGGCCATTTTTTAGGCTGGCGGAGGTCACTGAAGCAGGGGAAACAGGAGGGAGTGGTCGGCAATGGCCGGTTGATCGGCTGTGTGAGACGGAGATCACCGACCGGAGACGGCCCTGACTACATTCAAATTGAATCTCCGGAGATTGCCCTCGTTTCAATTATTGTCGACATGACAAGTACCCACCATATTGCCATACCCTTCCAGATATCTCTGCGTGCACTTGCACCTTTTCTTCAATCACTCCATATCCCGTTCGCAGGAAACAATGGGAAAATACTCCAGCTTATTATGCCACCCCGCTTTCGTAGACCCTGCGACAAGTCTCAGCACATGTCTCGACATGCTCCGTCTAGACTGAGAAGTATAGTCCAGCCCATCTCGGTGTGTATCTCATGCTGCCCAGGGCTTCGTTCGGCATGCCAGTCCGTACTCGCACGATCATGCACATACCTCCACTGTCGATCCTATCCCACTCCATTTCATTGCACTGCCCCGTTACCACAAGCGGTATTTCCAATGCTCACAGGTAATTCCCGGTGGGCATCCGTCTCCATTCTTCTGAACGCGTGTATTCGCGTGCGCGATACCGAGATAGTACGAGGCCACTCGTGATATGGCTTCCGTTGGTCCCTAGGACCCTGGTCTGTGCATAATCATGGCGCTTGCGGGTCCATATGGTGCCGCGGTGTTTTCATCCAATAGCCTTTTTACGACGTCTCCTACCCTGCGGAACCCCGCTGCGACTCCGGCACGCCAGAGCCCTCCCGCGAAGTGTATAAAGTACGTATAGTCGCGTTTTGTATGTGCCTCCCTGACTACTCCCGCATACGAAACGGGTATGGCTCATTCCTCTCAATACCACGGCGTTCACGAAAATCCCCGCGAGAGGTCTCGAGTGATGTCTTTTCCTCGAAGGCATGAGAGAGATTGGGAGGCGGCTTCTCGAGTGACGAAAACGGAGATGAAAGATAGAAGGCGCAGCATCTATGCCAGGCGGTGAGTCCGCCATCTCTGTCTCTCAATCCGACGATTGCCTCCCCCGTTCGGGCGGGCGACTACCAGAATATGGCTCACATCACGATGCCTGATGGCCGAGCCCACTTTTGGATCTTCCATCGCCAAACAGGTGCGATGCGCAACTCACTTGACAGCGGTTAACACTGCAGGAAGCGTGTCCTCCCCCGAATCACCCTGGGCAGCTATCATCGCGTACCTATGTACTTCCGTCATCTTGACATCACATCACGTTGCGTCGCAGCACCTCGCAGCGTCTCCCACGGCTCTCCCGATCTAGCGCGATCCTGTGCGAAGCAGGCCTCTTCCTGATGTTGACGGCGCCGACCAGGCTTCCGTTCCCGCGCGCGCCTCTTCTTGTATATCTGATGAGCTTCCGCCAGACACACTCATGCGGGGAAGCGTAGCCTTTACGCTAGGGCGTACGTATTGTCCGGATTCGTAGAGCAGGTTTATGCCAGTCTAGACAGACCCAGATGTTCCCCTCGCGTGCTGTATGGGACGTGCTTGGGAAGTAAGCACGCGCATGGACACCTTCGAAGCTGCTCCCTCGGGCTTTCAGTCGGCCTGCAGGGTCGCAGTGCTTCGGCGGAAAATGCGGCGGCTGACTTTCTCCACATCACACCCCACTGTGTCCCGTGCACACTGAATGTGGATCAGGACACGTCCGGGAGAAATTCCTGCAGTATCTCCGTCACGGTCTCCTGCTATTTCCGCTCGAGTGTGAGACGCTCTGTGGGCAGCCGACGATCGGAGATGGGTTGAGGATTGGCCGTCGGCGCATGACTTCTGCACTAATAGATTGACGTGTGGGATATGGGCTCATTACCGCCATCCCCCAGGTGTCTCGTAATCACGACACTGCGGTGTACACATGCACCAATTGCGTCTTTGTGCGTTCTACGTATACACCCGGTGAGAGTGCCTATTCCTTCGCGCGCAGTGACACACTACTAGTGTTGACTGGCGAAATGTCACTAAGATTTCCGTACAGTCTACTACCGGCTGACTAACGAATCTTACAGCCATAGTCCATAAGCGCGTGCATGCTGCCATCGGCCTGCCCGCTAGACCATAAACAACGTGGAACGGACCCAGATGACCCAGTGAGAATGACAATAGGTCATTAGTAGAGGGCATCTTTGCGTTGGTCCGTCGGTCGCTGTTGACAGGGCAGTCTCGTACATCCCGCACTTTCTCGCAGATTTTCATTACGCGGCATCGCTCACGCTATCGACGCTTCTATTCCCGAAAAACATCACGAACGGACGCTGCCCATGTCCTTCTTGAATTCCTCGAGTTTTATATAGAACGCTACAATGAACACCACCTCTTGGAAGCTCGCCTCGAAGTTAGAAAGCCAATTTAAGATACTCCGAAAAAGGTGCGAGACGCCATTGCTACTCCTTTTCAATGTCGGCAGGCCTCTTGCTGCTTCGGATATGAGCTTCGAGGCTAGCGCAAGCTTCTTCATATAAAGCTTAAGACACTATCTAGGGGAGCCGCTCCCCGTTCATGACATTTCCGCCTCGCCGTCGCGGCTGTCCGGCCAGCAGACACATCCATTGTGCGATCAGGCTATTGCCGTGTCTTCTGCATTGTTGGCCCGCTCTCTTTCTGTATGACGTCTTTCTGATGTGAGTGTGTCACCAATGTGAGCTTGTGTTTGATGCGTGGCCCAGTTAAGATATAGATCAGACGCATTACATACACCGAAATGATGGAAGGCGGAAGACCCCTGCTAGGAGCACCCGCACGCCTGCGGATCCCCACCTGATCGAGGGCTCATCAAGGCATCATTGCCGTCATACACGTAAGTGGCCCACCGCCTCGGAGTCCTCGGACGGCTGCCGGCATGGTCCACCGGTATACAACTGTGGCCTCCATAGGCATTGTAGGTTATTGGACGTACCGCTGAGTTCATGGAAGAATCATGGCTAGAGGACACAAATTGATTCAACGATTTGGTCTGGGGGTCAGTTCGCGCATCTCTACGAACCCATACCAGAGTCGGACGTAGCCCGGTTACTCGCTTGTCGCGTTCGCCTCGTGAGACCATCATGACATGTTAAACCATTCACGCGCTGTGTAAAACATCCGCTGCAAAGACGTAAAACACTGCAGGGACGTAGTTATCTCGCATTGGGTCCGCGCTGTCAGCGGTCGCATGTATCAAGTGAGCTCGGTAGCCGCATGTTTAATGACGAAACTAGATCGTTAGACATTTGATGGATGATGGAGCACGAGGATCTAACAAAAAAGCACACAGGCGGTATGCGAACTAACGCCAGGATGCATTTTACTTCTAATATATTGTTCTAAAGCGTTATACCTCCAGGGAGTTTCGTCTTCTGGATTTCCTTGGGGTAGAGAAAATGAGGTATCTTGCCCTCGGTGTTGTAAAACGTCCTCCCGGAACACTAGATTATGGTTGACATCCGCCAAACGCAACTTGACGAAGACTAATGATTGCGTGGAATTGTATAGGAAAACTTGTATTTCCCCGTGCAAATAATGCACGGTAGCCTCAGTGAGAGGCTGCTACGCGTAATTTATTGTAAGTAGTCGTGAGCTCGGTCTTTGCATAATGTTTACTGAATTAATACGCACGATCTGTGGCATATACAAGAATGGGCGTGGGATGTATAGGTCTACATGCCTGCTTATATTTATGTTTTCGGTGGATAAGGCGAGAACATGACATCTATAAGGTCAGCCACCGGCATCCATTTCGGGTTTGTTTGCCCGGGACAAAGTACGGGGTTTGTCCTGTGATTGAACACAACGATCTGCGCCGAGCTCAGATCGGAATCTCATCAACAAACTTCTGAAAGATGACTTCAGGTGGTTCCTACTGAGTATCTAAGTCACTGTATGCAAGAACCAATCTTTTTGTACAAAAGGTCAAATCACAATCAAATAAAAATGAATAGCACTTATCTAATTTCACTGATGTGAAATCGAATGAAAACCGAAGAACAATTGTCAGAAACCAGAAAATGAAACCTGTTTCCATAATCAACTCGTTTTGATATTTCTTCGATCTTTCTTCCATATTAGCGCCAGAATGCCAATCAGGTTAATTTGATCTTTTGTACCAGAAAAATGAATACCACCTGCAGTAACCAATTCTTTTGTACGAAAGAATGAAGATCAAGATATGAATAAAAGTAACTCCTCCTGATCAGTATTAATATGGAGAAGATTTGAACAAGTCAGTCTTTTCATTGTTCCCTCCAATCTCTCTTCTGTTCTCATTCGAGTGGTTCACTTTCCATTCAATGTTTATTAGATCTTTTGCTCAAAAATAATAACCCTTGCATGGCTCGCATGACGTGAGGATATTGTGACTGTCGAAATAAGAGACTGTGGCGCGAGCATATTTGGCCTTGTTTGTAGTACCTTGTGGACTACGCGCCCGAGCCCGCACGTACGTTCCTTTCGCGTTTGACAAATTTCAGACATTAAACACGCCATATCATTGTTACTCGTTTTCGCTTGGTCGAACTCCAATAGATAAGTACTGCTGAGTATCCTGACACTGCGCTTTGAGCACAGAGGGGAGGAAAGCGCGCCTAAGGTGGGGTCGTCGAGACTATGACGATGTTGTGGCTCTGTGCGCGGTTGTGTCCCTGAGAGGTGCGCGTACGTATGGTGCAGACTCCCGCTGACTAGGAACAGAGTGCGCTGGGGCGGGCCCAATGCGCAGGCCCGGGGAGGCGCGTGACATCATAGACGTCCAGGAGCATCGCGTCGAAAGGGGGTCTCCCGTGCCCAGTCTCCTCCATGGCTGTCTTGCTTGGCCGCTTTGCTCGATGACGTCGGCACGCCTACACGCGTCATCCTACGCGGTCTTATATAAACCACCCCGCTTTCACCTTTGTTTTCCAACTCTTCCCCCGTGTATCGATACCGCCCATATCTCTTCTCTCATTCGCTCAGTTTACGACCCTCAGTGACGATCTATTGTCTACGAACATTTTAGTCATGTCTCTTCCCCAGGCCCCGAAAGATATCTCTGACCACCCAGCCTCGGTATGTTCGTTTTTGCTCACTACGCGCTCGTCGTCTCACACGCCGCGCTCAGGGCTCCGTGGTTCAACCAACAGACAAAGCTGCACAGGCAGCCGATGTCGACCGCAAGCTCCGCTTCTATGGCGTCGTCTCCGCCTTGCGCGAATCGCGCATGCCCACGAACGAACAGATCGACTCTGCTCTTAACTATGCGCTCAAACACTCCCCCGTCGACCTCAAGCAGCTCTCACCAGACGGTCAGCGCCTCATCCAGGATTCGCGTGACATCATCGAGACTGCTCGCTTGATGGTCAAGAAGAAGAATGCCGACGAGCTCTTCCAAAACTTCGTCTGGCATACGCGAGAAGTCGACACTTCTTCTGCCAAGAAGGATCCCAACGAAGTGATTCCCGTCGACAAAGACAAAGCCAAGGCCGACGGCCAGCAGGCTGTCACGCACCTCCGCACGCTTTTGTCACTCATCCTCACAAACTCGGAGGTTCGAAAGCTTGTCTCCGACTTCGCTGTCATTGGACGCGATCTACTTGCCCGTGGTGCTGCTAAGGTCGCGGATGCCGCTCGTCCCGACCCTGAGCGCCTTCAGAAAGTCGACGACACTGCTCCCAAGGACCAATTTATCTCCGAAGGTGGCAGGGTTGTTGGACCTGACGAGACACCTGTAAGCCGGAATGCATATATGCGCTAGACCTGACCAATTTACGACTCTGATGTCGTAGGTTCTGGAATCCCGCATTCCAGGAACGGACACAACCGTCAAACAACATCCGAAGGAGAAGCTGGGCCATGGTGCGACTGTTCATCAGGGTAATGGCGAAGTCAAGAGTGGTGCACAAGCCATAAATGAGGCCCAGCAACGTAAAGATGAGCTGTACGAACAGGGCTATGTATGTCCTTCCTTATCCAGCCTTCAACGAGAATACTCATTACTACTATGTAGAATGAGGCATCCCGTCAGAAAGATGACACGCTCAACGCAGTTGGCGGAGACCCCGTTCCTGACAATGGGGAGGATGCGGAGGCCAAGAAGAACGGTCTCATGGGAAAGCTGCGCGGAATGAAGGTATGTTGTTCCAAATACTCTGCATATATGCGCGTAGCTTAACGCTCATCATTTTCAGGACCAAATCTCGGACAAGATTCCACAGGAACACAAGGATAAGGCCAGTGACCACGTCGACCGCGCGAAGCAATTCCTGAGCGAAGAATACTTTCCTCCCGAACGCCGCGACCAATTCGTCTACCGCCTCAAGAAGGTCATTATCGAGTGCCAGAACCACAAGGATTACCAGGAGAGCGTTCAGTGGCTAATCAGCTTCCTCGAGGAGTACTCGTCCCATGGGCAGACAGTCGCTGGCCATGGTAAGCGCTCTCAGCTGCTTTGTTACGTCATTCTCATCGGTCTCGATCAGCAAAGGACTCGCACAACCAGCTACAGTCCGAAGGCAGTATGCAACAGGCCGTAAGCGAACTCCGCACTTTGCTCGAGCGCTTCGCGAACGGCATGAGCTTGGGCGTCATCGGAGACGCCATGCAGGCGCTTTATCGTGACGCTCAGCAGGACGAGGATCTCAAGGAATGGTTCCGCTCTGTCGACCGCTACGTGCGCAAAGTAAGCACCTTTTCAAGCGATTCTGTTTCTCATTGGATGCTCAGAGCCTCTTATCAATAGGTTTTACTGGAGTCTGGGTACGTCTTAGAGCCCCAGTGCAACGACGAGGCGAATAAGCTCCAGGAGAGCGGCCGTCGGTTCTACGAGGGCAAATACCAAGATCACTTCAACAACTTGTTCTCGAGCATCACAGACTGGTTCACGGCATTCGGTGATGATCCGCTCAACCAGAGGCATGTCAAAGTCATACTGTCCTACTCAAACGAGTCGACACTGACCCGCACTCAGGTTTGGTGATGACTGGGCGCGCCTCACGAAAGACTTGCTGTTCGACAGCGAGGGCAGCTTGAAATTCAAGCCTGAGCTCTGGATGGACATCCGCAAAGTCATTCTTCCAAGTATTATCGACCGCGTGGGTTACGTCCCAATTCCGCGTGCCGAGTATACCGACGACACCATTGATCTTGTTATCGAGAACCTCGCGCTGTCAGGTCGCAACCTGTTCCCAAACGTCGTTTCCATGGAAGCGCACAACTTCCTCAAATTCAGCCCGTACAACGCTATCTCGTATGTTGCTCTCTATATTATCGACTGCCTCGGGCGCTGACTAGTAGCAGGGATGAGGGCCACCACGAGTTCACGCTCACGTTCAGCCAAATCCAAGCGGATATGCGCGACGTTGCGTTCTACTTCCGTAAGAAGAGCGGTTTCCCGAAGTTGTCCGACTCCGGTCTTGCCGATGTGCTGCTCGGCGGCGAAGGCCTCACTGTCACCGCCCACATTGAATCCGCAGGAAAAGACCAGTCAAGCGTGTTCAAGGTTAAGAATGTCCACGTCAAGGTCGGCACGCTGAAGTTCTCGATTCGCGATTCGAAGCACGATCTGCTCTACAAGACCGTGCGACCGCTCGCGACGGGCATTGTTAAGAGGCAACTACAGAAAGTCATCGGTGACGCGGTGCGGACGGGCTTGGAGTACGTCGACGGCCAACTAGTTGCTGTGCGCGACCGCATGAATGAGGCCAAGGAGAATCCCAAGGAGAGCCGCACGCAGGCGCTTCAGGATCTCTTCCAACGCAAGAAGGAGGAGGCCCAGAGCACGAAGAGCAAGGCGGACGAGAAGACGGGGCAGTTCAAGGTCGTGTCGAAGCGCGACTCGGCGATGTTGAAGGACGTCGGGCGGAAAGAGGGCTGGTCAAACCGCGCCCAGGAACGCTCTGACAAGGTTTCGCAGGGCGAAGGATGGAGGAGCGAGGCGTAAGTGCTTGGCTACGGTATTGTTCAGCTATGTACTAATGGCGTGTTTGATGGCGATAGGTTCACGATCGTATGAAGGTGATCGTGTGTGCTGAAACCTGAAGTCCTTGGCTTTATCTCAACTTGTTTATGTGTTTTCGCCGATTGGTCGGCATGACGTTCCTTTCTCGCCTGTACTCTTACTTTTGTTTGTCTGCGAGGCAGCAACCCGTCGCCAACCCGAGCGACGTATACCCCCGCCTTCAACAACACCATGACTTCATTCTAGTGTACCGATACGTCCTAATTCTTGCAGTACTTCGCTTAGTTATTCGTACGCGTAATTACATACCTTTTTCTCTGCAGCACCTAGGGCCGTTGCCACTGATCATTAATTCATCGACAAATGGCGAGCGTCACGCCACGACGCGTGGTGTCACGCTGCGATGGTCACGTGAGGCGCTGTCGCGCGAGTCCCACGCGTACTTACCGCCTTGCCGTTACATCTTCCCGCTGCTCATAAGCAGTTCAGCATCATGTTCCCATGTCTACTTTGCTGGTTGCCTGTTGTTAGTGGTCGGCGCTGGACTCGGAAAAGTCTGCCCAGACATGGGAAGCTTTCTGACTGAGGCCAAGTACTTTTGGCAGTATCTTGTGCAGCTATTGTTACCAGGGAAGCCCCAGTTCAGCACAAAGCAGATACCTGATTTGACGGGCCAGGTAATGCTCGTAACAGGTGTGTCCGCAATCACCTATTATCTGCGTAAATCAGCTACGGAGGGCGCTCATGGCGAAGTGTAGGAGGGAATGCAGGTATTGGCAAAGAAACGGTGAAGGTGTGTTTGCTCGGCTTTTCTGCGAATGCAGAGCATATCTGATAGCCTTCTATTCCTGCAGGCGCTGCTCGAACATAACGCGAAGGTATACCTTGCAGCAAGGAGCAGGGAGCGGGCCGAAGCAGCGATCCAGGACCTACAGAAACAAACAGGCAAAACGGCCATTTTCCTTGAATTGGACATGAGCAGTCTAGCCTCGGTCAGGAAAGCTGCGAAAGAATTCATGAGGTACAGTCCACTGGTCGGTGTGCTAGCAGCGAACTGATGCAGACGCGTCTTACGCTTAGCAAAGAGACAGCCCTCCATGTCCTGTTCAATAACGCGTCTGTTCTCACTTTTGACGGCCCTCATCATTATTGTTCATCCAATCTCTGCATAGCGGCGTCATGTGGTGTTCTATCGAGCTCCTTAGCGCGGACGGATATGACCTGCAATTCGCCACGAATGTCATTGGTAAGACTGGCCGGGTTCGTCTGCCTGTTGATGACTTCGCCAACATCGGTCGCAGGTCATTTCTACTTTACCAAGCTGCTCATTCCCGCTCTGCTCGTTGGGAGAGACTCTTCGCCAGATCGCCATGCCCGTATCGTGACAACGTCGTCTTCCACAGCCTACTTGTACACCATCAACTGGGAGTCGTTCAAGGATGGTCCCGCGCGGAGGAAGATGTCCACCAGACAGCTGTATAGTCAGAGCAAATTCGTATGTGATGATGTTGCTGCGTACTGATGAAGGATGTCTCACGGCTCGTGCAGGCCAACGTTGTCGTAGCACGAGAGACTGCCAAACGTTATGCAGATCAAGGTATCATTTCATTATCACTCGACCCGGGCATGTCTTGTCTCTCGTGCTGCTGCGCCTATCAGCCATTAATGATGTAATTCAGGCAGCATAGATACTGAAATCCAGCGAACTGTCCCCGGTATCCAGCGGTGGTTGGCGGTGCGCATAGACAAGATTATCCATAAACATTGCACTAACCAGATTGTGCCGTAGCGCGTGCTAGTCTTCTACCCTGCCTCGTTCGGAGCCCTCACTCAGCTCTGGGCAGGCACGATGCCCGAGGCCATTAACCATAACGGCAAAGTGAGTGAATCATGAAGACATACTGTATTTCTTCCTGACAGTGTGTTTGCAGTTCTTGATCCCCTGGGCTAGAGTCGGGAGATGTAGAGAAGAAGCTTATGACGATCGGATTGGCGAGCGCCTATGGGACTGGCTGGAGGAGCAGGTTAAGGCATTTCAGCCAGAAGCTTGAGGTGCGACGCTTACGTTACTCTTTAAGAATATGGTGGACTCATCATGGTACTATGTTTCTCCACTCAGGTGGTCGTATTTGCAGGCCTCCTTCCCCACCTTCACTGATTCCTTCGTGTTATCAATCTCAGTAATGCAAATGATACCACTAAGGCAGCCACCTGCTGACTGACTACTCCAGGTGGCCTGAGAAAGAGCTAAGGAGCGATGGTATGTTTAACGTTCTGAGCAACTGGCATCGGTGGACTACATCTAATATGTAGACTTACGATGCTTAGTTGCTTCTCTGCCTGCATTCGTTCGCGCTATTCAGTATCAGCCTATCCTAGTATTACAAGTACGTAATGACTTGTAGAAAGAGGATAGCCTGATCCGATAATCACCCGCCGTCAACAAGTTGATGGGTGGGCAGGACGCCTAGCTGCAGTCGCCTCAAGCTCGATGTCTGAATATCCAGTGAATAGATTGTGTGTTCAACATGTCGTTCATCGCGCACCGCTCAATCACTTACCCGTGTAAGGCATACTCGGGCAGTGCGGCGCTGCGGTGTGAAGCGCAGCTCTTCCGAACGAACTTTATCAAGGGCCAGCACGTACTCTGGAAACCCGGCAGCTATACGGGTTGACATGAGGCTGCTCTGACGCTGGGGGACGCGCATGCTTGCAGGTTCGCGCTCACTCTTCCTCTACACCATCCACAGCGACCACTCATGAACAGAGGAAATTCGCAAGCATCCAATCTCGACTCTCGCGGTCAGCGACTCAACAAGTTACTGGATGGCGTTCTTAATGGTCGACAGGCTCTGGGAACGGCGTCGTCTCCCCTCTTCCTGGAAGCAATTTGCGCCCAGCCGGACGCTGCTAAATGCATCGACCGGTTGATTGTCAGTAAAACAGGCCTGTCGTCTGTACAGACAGCTATGCGTGCCGATCTCAGCTTGTCGTTTTTCAATGGACACGCCTCGTCATTCATCATCTATCTGCAGGCACCGGCGCTACGCATCGTCGGAGGTGGCTCGTTTCTCCAGCAGCTCGTCATCGCCATGGTAGAGCCCTCTATCTTCTGGAATACTTTCAGTGACGCCTTTCGTGCTGGAAGTCTGCAGGAGAAGGGTGAACTCTCCTTCGGCTGGCTTCTGCTGCAGCTCGTGGTGCTTCCTGCGAGTAAGGCGGCCCCATACCGCGAGATTGCGCAAGATCAAGCGGTGCTGGACCGCCTCCTTTCTTCCCCGCATTCAGAAACCAGCGCGATAGGGAGGAGGATCAAGGATGTAGTGGCTACGCTGCATGCCTCGATTCCCGATGGCAGCGATACCTTCCCCGGAGACCGACATGACAACGACTTCGCCGATTTCCGCCTCATCTCGATCCATCCTACTGCCGATGAGATCACCTGCCGTGAGCTACCATTCTTGAGGCCCGCTTCCTTCCTCGATGACGCGGAAACTGCGGACAGCCGTGTGGCGACGTATCTCGACAACCACTTTCGGTTGTTGAGGGAGGACATGATTCATGAGATGCGAGAGGAGATGCAGATCGCGCTGGGGAAGAAGAAGGGAAAGCACAGGGGCCTCGTCATCGACGGTCTTGAGCTTGTCGGAGTGCACTTCGGTCCCGACAACAAGAGATCGAAGTGGGCCATAGAGCTTCAGTGCAAGCAAGATCTTCCCGTCTTGAAGCGCAAGAAAGATCGACGCGCGTTTCTCAGGGACGAAGGACGCAGCATTCTACGTCATCAGTCATTGGCGTGCCTCCTTGTCAACGGCAAGATTATCGCGTTTCCCACCATCCTCCGAGATGAAGACCAGCTCGCGAAGCTGCCGCCAGTCGTTCTTTTGTGTCTCACGGGAGAGTCAAGCACGAAGAAAGCTCTTATGGAGCTCAAGTCCGCGACCAGCATAAAATTGATTCAGATTGACACGGCAGTCTTCTCTTTCGAGCCGATTCTAAAGGCTCTCCAGGAGATGACGAGCGTCCCGCTCTCTCTTGAGCTCTTGTCGTGGACTGATGACACGATATTAGCGGATCTACCGAGGCAACCGACACGAATCGTACAAGCGTTGCGGATGGATCCTGGTCAGGATTTGAGGTCGTTGCTCGACATCAGTCAACCGAAGCCAATCATGCTCGATGCGTCACAGTCTGCGTCTCTCATGGCATCCCTCACACAGCCTGTGTCCTTAATCCAGGGCCCGCCGGGTATGTTCCCTGCTAGTAACGACGTATGACTGCTCACACAACTTGCAGGAACCGGCAAATCATTCATTGGGGCACTCTTAGCGAAGATCATCCACGACGCCACTAGTCAAATCATTCTCGTCGTCTGCTACACAAACCATGCACTCGACCAATTTCTCGAGGATCTGCTGAACATCGGCATCCCACCAGACCACGTCGTTCGCCTAGGGAGCAAATCTACCGCCAAAACGGCATCGCTGGCCCTACAAAACTATCAAAAGCAGGATAGGCTGTACAAGAACCGGAAAGGTGATTGGGAGCAGATCGACGCACTAAAAGATACGTCGGAAAGGCGCCTCAAGCATATCGAGACCACGTTCGCCAAAGTGACATCCCCATTACATTACCGAGACCTACTCGAGCATCTTGAATTCGAGCACCCCGAATATTATGAAGCGCTCAAGGTACCTCGAGACGAGCATGGGTTGACACGCGTTGGCCGCAACGGGCGCGCCGTCGACGACTACTATCTATGGCATCAGTGGATGAAGGGCTGGAATGCAGGCATTTACGCGGACTCCCCACATGTACAAGCTGCGGCGCAGATCTGGAAAATGGCGCCAGCACGCCGTCAGGCTCAAATCGCGACATGGAACACAGAGCTTCTGAGAGAGAAGGTAGCTGATATCTACGAGGTCGGGAAGCAATACAACGAGGGCCTTGATTCCCTCGAGCGCAAGCGCAATCAGAACGTTGGTGCGATTCTCCGAAGCAAGAGAGTCATTGGGTGTACGACAACTGCAGCGGCCAAATATAGGGACGACATTCAGGCAGCTTCACCTGGGGTGCTGTTGGTAGAGGAGGCCGGCGAAATCTTAGAGTCTCACATCATCAGCGCTTTGGGTTCCGAGACGTCGCAGCTCATCCTCATTGGGGATCACCAGTAAGTCGATTGCCAAAGCGTTCTACCACTTGCTTATAGCTGTCAAATCGACAGACAACTCCGGCCTAAGGTCAACAACTACTTCCTCACCGTCGAGAAAGGCGATGGGTTCGATTTGAACAGATCAATGTTCGAGCGCCTCGTCTTGAAGGGCTACCCTCATACGACTCTCAGTGAACAGCACAGAATGAGGCCCGAAATCTCTGATCTCGTACGTCAGCTCACGTACCCCGCACTCAGAGACGCAGACGGGACGAAAAATCGGAAACACACTCGCGGCTTACAAGACGACGTTATCTTCCTCAGTCATGATCGTCCTGAGGACGAAAATCCTGAGACGAAGGACAATAGGGAGCTGTACCCATCTTCGTCTAAACGGAACACGTACGAGGCAGAGATGGTGCTGAAGATTGTTCGGTATCTCGCACAGCAAGGCTATGGCACGGAGAAGCTCGTCGTTCTCACGCCGTATCTCGGTCAACTCCAATTACTGCAGTCCATCCTGAAGACAGAGACAGATCCCGTCCTCAACGACCTCGACTCCTTCGACCTCGTTCGTGCCGGCCTGGTGACGGAAGCAACAGCAAAACTGACACAGCGACCGCTTAGGCTCGCAACCATTGGTCAGTTTCTCTTGAAGCGCCTTCTCTTCCCTGTTGACCGTCTTCATTCACACCAGACAACTATCAAGGCGAAGAGAGCGACATCGTCATCTGTTGCCTGACGAGAAGCAATGTTGATCACGACATCGGTTTCATGTCCTCACCGGAACGCGTGAACGTTCTCCTGTCACGAGCTCGCGACTGCCTGATATTGCTCGGGAACGCAGACACATTCCTGAATGCACGAAAGGGGAAAGAGATTTGGGAGCAGTTGTTCCGCCTGCTGGCGTGCGGGAAGCACGTGTACGATGGCCTTCCCGTGAAATGCGAGCGTCATCCTGATCGTAAGGCTTGCCTGAAAAAGCCCATCGACTTCGATGTCCTCACCCCTGACGGTGGCTGTCAGGAGCCATGGTAAGGCCATTCCCAGCGTATTGTTGTGGTCACCACGTTTGACTATATTTGCCCAGTGGTACAATGCTTAGTTGCGGTCTCCACTGCTGCTCATCCAAATGCCATCAGCTATACGATCACTCAAAGATGCAGTGCGAGCATATTCTCAACGATGTGTGCTCGAACGGCCACACCCTGAATTGGAAATGCTTTCAAGGACGCCCTCCGGTCTGCAAGAGGTGTGAAAAGGAGGTGAAGCTTGCCGAGGAGAAGCGACAGAGAGACTTCGCCGACAAGGAAAGGCGAGATGCCGAAGAACGGGAGCACGCACGCAACATAGCCAAGCTAGAGGAGGAGTATGAGCAACAGACTCGTCTTCTCCGTGACAGACAGCTCGCCGAAGAGCGAGCCAATGCGATTCAGCAGAAGCAGCAAGATCTGGCGTCGATCACTGCCCTCACTGCGAAGGCACCGCCGACAAGTTCCGCAGCATCAGTCGTACCCGACAATGGTGGAGCACCGGCGGCTACCGCGAATGGAGCAGCCTCCACGCTTCCGACAAGTGCAGATGCTCTTCCCGCTTCTTCTATCCACCATTCGATCCCGCCGCCGACGCCGACCTCGACGGTAGAGCAAGTTCAGCAGGTGTCCACGGGTTCAGAACCATCCTCGACGCCGACATCTGGTGCCGAGCAGGAGTGGGAACGACAGAAGGTCATGGATGGAGCATCAGATCCTTCTATCGACGCCATCATGAGTATGACTGGGCTTGAGGCCGTCAAGAAACAGGTACTTCAAATTAAGGGCAAGGTCGATGTCACCAAGCGTCAGAACACATCGCTCAAGAATGAGCGATTCAATATTGTGCTACTAGGAAACCCTGGCACAGGTACGTCGATCGGTATCCCACGACCCCTTTGATTTACCTTGCCGCTTGCCCCACAGGTAAAACGACTGTAGCCAGACATTATGCCAAGTTTCTCACGTCTTTCGGTATTATCCCTGGAGTGGCCTTTGTCGAGGCGTCTGGCTCTAGTCTTGCAAATGACGGTGTTCCCGGTGTCAAGAAACACATCGAAACGATCCTTAAGTCTGGCGGAGGGGCATTGTTTGTTGATGAGGCGTATCAGCTCACTGGACAGCATAACTTCCAGGGGACGCAGGTGCTTGATTTCCTCCTAGCAGAAATGGAGAACAGAGTTGGCACCATCGTCTTCATTCTGGCAGGCTACAGCAAACAGATGGAGAAATTCTTCGAGCACAATCCAGGCCTTCAAAGTCGGGTACCGTACACTCTACGCTTCGAGGATTACAATGATGCCGAACTTCTCTTGATGCTGGAAAGGATGATCAAGAAGAGATACAATAGCAGGATGAAAGTCGAAGGCGATTTTGGCGGGTTGTACTGTCGCATCACCGTTAGGCGACTGGGCAGGGGTCGAGGACGAGAGGGCTTTGGAAACGCTCGGGCACTGGAGAATCTCCTCGCTAAGATCTCTGGTCGACAGGCAGACCGAATAGTAACCGAACGCAAGCAAGGCCGCCGCCCAGATGACCTTCTCTTCTTACGCGAAGATCTCATTGGACCTGATCCTTCCAACGTACTGGTCGAAAGCAAGGCATGGAAGAAACTTCAGTCACTTATCGGGCTGTCTGCTGTCAAGGATTCAATCCGCATCCTTTTTGACCTCATAGCTACGAACTATCAGCGAGAACTGGCGGAAAAGGATACTGTACAGATGTCGCTCAATCGCGTCTTCGTTGGTTCTCCTGGAACGGGCAAGACGACCGTCGCAAAGCTCTACGGAGATATTCTAGCCAACTTGGGCTTGTTAAGTAACGGTGAAGGTACGTTCTCGCAGCCATTCCCATGCGACTTTCATGTCACGTTTTGTCCCAGTGATAATGAAGAATCCCGCGGATTTTATCGGCTCTGTTCTTGGCGAGTCTGAAAGCAAGACGAAGGCGATATTGGCGGCAACGGTTGGCAAAGTGTTGATCATTGATGAGGCATGTAAATTCCTACGCCGGACCGCAACCATAATGCTTATATACTCCAGGCATACATGCTGTATGAGGGTGGTGCAAGCCCGGGGAAACAAGCCGATCCGTACAAGACCGCCGTCATCGACACAATTGTCGCCGAAGTTCAAAGTACACCCGGTGAAGATCGTTGCGTTCTATTGCTCGGGTACAGAGACCAGATTGTAGAGATGTTCCAAGTGAGTCCTTATTATCTGGGTGGGCTTCATCTGACGAGGAAAGCCAGAACGTCAACCCTGGCTTATCGCGTCGATTCGCCATAGAAGATGCATTCAACTTCGAGGACTTCTCCGACTCCGAACTCCTGGAGATTCTCAACTTGAAATTGAAGGATCAAGATCTTGGTGCCACAGACGCAGCTAAGGAAGTCGCGATCTCAGTTCTTAGTCGCGCTCGTAACCGCCCCAACTTCGGCAATGGAGGTGAGGTGGAGAACGTCTTGGGGAAGGCGAAAGCTCGATATCAGATGCGTTACGTTTCTGTTCCTTCACACAAACGTCCCTTCGACATTGTGTTCGAGCCGCAAGACTTCGACCCTGCTTTCGATCGCGATTCAAAGGCATCCGCCAATCTGGAGCAACTTTTCGAAGGCGTCATTGGGTGTGACGATATAGTCAAGAAGCTTCGCGGTTATCAAGAAACGGCTCGGAAGTTGAAGGCTCGTGGCATGGAGATCCGCGATCAGATTCCAACGAACTTCGTCATGAAAGGACCTCCAGGTTTGTCTTGATCGGCTCGGAAAAGAAGTGGACACTGAATTGCGCACCCACCAGGGACTGGAAAGACTACCACGGCTCGCAAGCTGGGGCAGGTTTATTACGACATGGGCTTTCTTTCGTCGGCAGAGGTCATTGAATGCTCTGCGTCCGATCTCGTCGGCCAGTACGTTGGGCAAACGGGCCCCAAGACCAAGGCATTACTCGAGAAGGCTCTCGGTCGTGTCATCTTCATTGATGAGGCGTACCGACTCGGAGACGGGCTATTTGCGAAGGAGGCTATCGATGAACTGGTCAGCATGCTCACGCAGCCCCGTTTCTTAAACAAGATTATCGTCGTTCTGGCTGGCTACGATAACGACATGAACAAACTGCTATCCATCAATTCCGGGCTATCCAGTCGCTTCTCAGAGGAGCTCATCTTCAGGAACATGAGTCCCTTGCACTGTCTTCAAGTTCTCCGCACGAAGTTGGCCGAGAAACAGGTTCATTTACTTGCGCTAGATGATCCTGATTCAGCCGAGTACCAATCCATGGTCAGGCTTCTCGAACAACTGGCAGCTCTCCCATCGTGGGGCAATGCGCGAGATGTAGGCACCCTCGCAAAACAAATGATAAGCCACGTATACACGAGTCCTTCGGACGAATCAGCGGACACCGACGAGCTCCTTCTCACTGCGAAAGATGCTATCGCCTGTATGAGTGCAATGCTGGACAGTCGCAAAGAACGGGGCAGGAACGTACCCTCGACATCTCCTTTCGACGCCTTGCGAGACCACTTCTCCATGATGCAGGAGCACGACCCTCCAGCTGCAACGAGCCGTGCGCCTCCGGCGACCAAGGCAGCTCCTCCCAAGTTGGACGAACGGCGAGAGCAGACGCGCACACCCGTGATTGCGTCGGACGATCAACGGGACGCCGGCGTGACGGATTCCGTCTGGTACCAGCTACAAATGGACAGGTTGGCAGCGGAGATCGCGGAACAGCAGGAGCAAGAGAGGATCGAGAGGTTGGAGCGAGAGATCGAGGAGAACCGCAGACGGGAGGAGGCCGAGCAAGCACGTATGACTCAGATTGCTGCACAGCGAGCTCGCGATGCAGCGGCTGAGGCTGAACGGATGCGACAACTGGAGGCTGCCAGATTGAAGGTGTTGGAAGCCAGGAAGAAGCGCGAGAGGGAGGAGGCCGCTCTGCGTGCGGCGAGGGAAGAAGAAGCCAAGAGGAGGGCACAGGAGGCCAAGGCACAAGCAGCCCTTCGCCAGATGGGTGTTTGTGTTGCTGGCTATAGGTGGATCAAACAGGCAAGTGGATATTGCTGTGCGGGCGGATCACACTTCGTGGGGAATGAGGCGTTAGGCATTTGAGAGCTCAGCGTAGTTTCTTGGCTTGTTGCAATATTGGCATACTGTGTGTGTGGCTCGCATAGAGAGGTACTAGGCCCGAGAATCGGCCTAAACGAACAATGTATCCGTGTAATCCGTAGATCCGCAGACGATGTATGATTCAGCCTTGTGTCTGGAGACCTCCCATTGTTATACAGATGTAATCTCGAGCCCTGCCCATAGACACACAGCTCTTCTGGGACCTGCGGCTCAGAAATGATATCTTGACAGCTTATTGCTCGTTGCGTCACGCGACATTTGGTACAGCCAAATGTACCAGAATATTGCGTCACGTCAAGTAGCAACATTAACGATGCTCAGCAAAGCAGCAGGGCGGCTATAAGAAATCTGGAAGGCCCAAATGGTGTCGTAGTAGCACTTTGCGGCTGCTGGGGGGCCGTTCTTCGGCCTATGGACGGGTTATCGTGAAGCGAGATAAGGAAGACAAGATGGAGAGATTCCCTGCGCTAGTGGTAGCGTTAGAGAATGAAGGAGGACTGCGAGCCTATTCTAGCCTTTAGGCTTGATAATCTGTGTAAGAGAATTTAGGTGGAGGGAGGTACAACCCCGAACCTCTCTCAAAAACAAAGGTCCCGCCGGTACATGTGTATCAGATGCGATATGCTAGAAGGTGCGCGCCGCCGCTCAGGCTTCATCGTACCGCTACAGGATCTTGCTCGGGGAGTCGCACTGGACACCATTTACGAACGAGTTGCCCCAGCCCCTCAACTCCAACCCCAATTCCACCAAGCGAAGAAGTAGCGATCTCTCGCTAGACCCTACGTCCTGCGTGCGCTCGGCGTTGCTGTGCGCGTCCTGTTAGAGGAAGAGTAATACATAAAACAAAAGCATGCACCGTGGTGACGGTTACTCCCTACACGCCTGATGCGCGCGCCTGACATCCTTCGATCCAAGTCCAATCTAGAGTCGCTACTTATCTAGTCTGGTTCAATTTGGGGGGTCCCGACAGTAAGACGCGATTTCGGAGTTACGTAATCTATTTCATCTCCGAAACGCGCCGTTAAGATCTTGCTCGACGCGACGCGACGCGTCGCATCGCGCGGGCTCGCTACAATACACCTGTCCCGCGCGATATCTACACTAACAAATGCCATCGAATATCTTTATTTTATTCTATATCTGAATCCAATCCCTCTGTCGCCCGTTTTCGCTTCAGCTCTGTCTCCGTCGGGACATGATATTGACATGGCCATAGCAGATCGCGCGGTGTCGGAGAATCATGCATCACAGTGAGTATGGATGCGACATATCAAGCTTCAATGAAAGGCGGTGGTTATCTCAGGCGACGCCAGGCCACAGCTCGCAACCAACACTACGGTAAGTTCAGACGGCCATCAGCCGGCAGTTCCCGGCCATCAGTCGGCAATCGCTAGCACGCTTGAAATGCTGTCTTACGGTCCGGGGGGCGCGTATTGAAGCAGACCTTTAGAGTGCCCATCCTCTGACCATCAAAAAGGGCGCTCTATTGTAGGCTGCCTAGGGGAGACAACTACTTATCGGCGCGTAGAGCGCGTCGATTCGGTTTCGTGAGATGATCGGGATACCTTTTACGAATAAACCCGGGAAAAGATTAAGATGCCCGATTTGGCAGACTACGCCTGACCGGCGCCTTTTCGCGGATTTTGCCAGGGGCCTACCATAATGTGGCAGTCCAACTCTATCGCGCAGGGAGCCAGTACTCTCTTAGGAGGCATTGATGAACACTCAACCGTGGAAGACTTACAAAAGGCCCCTATCTGAGACCTCCGATGACACTGGTGAAAACCAAGAGGTGAATTTGTCTAGGGAGAAAACGCTAGCTCGAGATGATGAACTAAATCGCGAATCAGAAGGACTGCACGTTGAACATTTCCCGGCTTGGCCTGCGACCTGTGTTTGACGAGCTGGCTCGTCAAAATGAGTGAGCAGTGATAACAGACACCATGTCGCGCGGGTCAAACCTAACCGAGCGACCTCCCACTGAGGATATCTCCGCGACTACTGAGCATATCGTCTTGATTTCTGATGCGCTAGACTCTGTTAGTCTGTCTTCAGGCTCTAGTACCAGAAGCATCGTGAATTCACGGCATTGAAATTTCATCATCTTCGGCACTCCTGAAGTAGAATTGTTCTTGCTCGTGAGCATGATATCGGAAACTCGTCGAACGGGTATATCTGGAGCTGAGCGGGCGCTGTGGATGGTCTGGTATCTGGTTGGTTTGTCTTTCACATCTTATTTCATAATGTTCACATCCTTGGGCGCGATCATCGTGTCTTTGCTCATCCTTCGCACATCTCGAATGACATCCTTCTGTAAGGTTCTATCCTGCTTCGGCTACCATACATCCGCCAGAACGCAGCGAGGACGATGAGCTCGGGTGGCTACTGACCCCTTCCGTCCACTTCCATCACCATTGCGCGTCCATAGTCTCTCTGAGTCACGAGTCAGGCATACACCTTGAAAGAGTACAAATGGCATGTCAGATAGCTGCCGATGTATCCGCACAGCTACAAACAGCTCGGTTAATGGAATTCAATGTATCTAATACCTCTCAACAGGTATCGAAAACCAAGTTCTATCCGCCATCCGCCTCCGGGTTTCCCTGTGGCATGACTTGGTATTAATCACTGTCTGCTTCTGCCATTGTGTTCTGCATTATCCACTTGCAATCGTCTTACACATGATATTGGGAATGAGGTCTACAGCAGCATGAGGTAACTAATTAAATTTGCAGTAATTCAGGTACGCCACAGCTCTTGCTGTAAATGTAAGGGATATTACAGGCCGCTTGAGCAATATAAGGTCGCATACAGCTCCAGAATCATTCTGAAATACGAAATAATCGCTGATGGTCTTGATACCCGGCTATGCGAAGAGTAAAATGGCTGAGAAACAGGGCCATTTATGAGCTGAGGACGCAAATGATGAGATACTTGCCAATGTGAAAGACATGTTGAAGACCACCAAACTTAGTGCGATGGTCCTGTGGAAGCTGTGAAATGCTCAAATGAGAGTTTCAGCCCCAGAATGCGGCGTGTGACGAGGTAATCCCGTCAATATATGAACTCGATTGGCTCGGAGCATAGCGAGGACGGAACATAAGAAATGAGGCAGACTTTAGAAACACTCCGCAGCTGTATCAGGACGAGATGACCAGCGCAGCGGAAGCCAGGACGATATACTCAACAGTTGCCGAGATATTCGTGTTCTCGGTAGGAGATCGTTCGGCGAGAATTAGTTTATGTCTGACGCGCGCGACGCCTCTCGCGAAAACAACTGTTACTCACCAATCATCTTACGATGCACAACGACCACCTGCATGGCAATTCATATCGTGAGCATTCGTCTGCGATGTACAGACGCGGGTTGCATTGCATAATGCCATCGCAAAGAGCCGCCTAGCGCGCTCCGGCGAGCTTCTTCGAAAGATAGCTTCGATCCGAGGAAGTGGGAAAGAAAGCTCTATGAAGAAGTCAGTTGGCGCTGGTATTGGAGCGACACATGCAATGCGCGCCAAGTTCATGGTGAATACGGCGCTAGGAGAGTGGACTGCATGACTGTTATCTTCTCAGAGGGCTCAATACGTCGACTGCCTGTATTGAGGATTGTCAGTTAGTTCAAGGCGCGTTGAGGATATGGTTCTGGACAGCAGAGCGAACGAGGCTGCAAGAATTCGCCAGAAACCTCGATGTCCATACAACCTAGATATTAGTTAGTACGTGAGAGCCCAGATGGGCCCAGATGAATGGATAGTATCTCGAGCATCACAACGCTGGAATGGGCACTGCGCACAACCGAGAGCATACACGACTAGGAGAATACTGCGTGGGTAGTCCTCACTCCCGCTAGCCGCTGCATGCGTGACGATAGAACGGGAGTCAAAAACGTCAATACGAAGGGGTACTCGCCACTATAGAGATAGGTTCCCGCTACGCACAAGGTTGAGACAACACTTTTGTCGTGCGTAGAGCAGGGTCTCGGCGTCTCTGCATGAGGAGCTAATAGTTATCCCCAAGGAGACAGCGGTGGTACCTAGATGTATTGAAAGAGGTACGCGTTGAACAGTGTCCCTGTCTCCGGCGAGACCGAGTTAGTATCGCTCTCGTGAGTGCCTGGTGACGGATGCTGTGGGCGTCAAATAATTGCGGCGGATCATAGTGCGATCAACGGACCCACTGGGCTGGACACTGATCTCGATTCCCGTTGTTATCGGAAAGTGTCCTTCGGCGGCTCCGGCGCCTTCGAGGGCGGCATCGGTGCCTCCCATGCATGCCTACGTTCTAACTCTGTTTGGGCATTTGCAACGGGCATCACGCATTGCGATGCAGCCGTCACATCCGGATCGCATCGTGCCGTGCCATCTGAGACATAGCATGAACGCTTGTGAGGATGTCATTTAACGACGCAGGCTGGATGCGGGTGCCCCTCAGCATTCCGCACAGCGCACCATGGCATCTCACACTCTCCTTACTCTTCCTAAGCTTCAGGATGAGCTCCTCGCTCACCCCATTATGACTTCGCTGGGCAGTCTCGCCCTGTCGACCTTCATCTCCCGCTCCATATACGGTATCATAGACTGGAGGCCCGTACGTTAGCTTCAAGTTATTCTTGTGATGACGAAGAGTATCACTGACCTGATGTCCCGCAGGTACTCATATGTGTATCATCCGATGTAATCACCATTGGCCTCGACCACTACAATGACCAGGCGTCAGCGTTGGCCGACGCAAAGAAGACGTCTAACAGCGCTGTGATGTCTGTCTTCACGCGTGCGCGGGTCCTCCTCATCACCAATGCTATCCTTCTTGTTTTCGCACTCCTCTCGTCTCCTCCGTCGACTTGGTTCATCACCGCGTGCTTCATCACGCCCGCTCTGCTTTGGGACACGCCACTCTTCCGCCGAAAGGCAGGGCCCAAGGTCAAGAAGACTAAAGCGGAAAAGGCCCAGGAGTCAAAGAACGGCTTCGTTATCAAGCGCATCCCAGGGATGAAGGCGGTCTTCATCGGTATTATCCGAGGGTGAGTATCGGCTTGGGCTCCTAAATGCTAAGTTGCTGACAACTGCTTTGGCGCTATCGAAAGATGTGGTACATTTGCGGTGGTCCATTCTATCCTTTCCCGTTCATTCCCTCCGGATGGAATCGCATCTGGTCCGTGGACCCCTACGCAAATCATCGTCTGGTCTACTATCAACAGGACTTGTCACGCTGTACGTTTTCAATTGTGCTCACCTCCTAATTCGCAGCTTCTGATTACACCTTCAGGTTATGGCTGACGTGCGTGATTTCACGGAAGACTGGGAGTTGCAGGTACCCACCATCCCGGTTCTCCTCAAGTCCGTTCACCGGACGAAGGTGCTCCTGACGGCCATTCACCTGCTCACCCTCGCTGTGTTCTTCAACAACATCTACATTATCTTCGCTTCTTTGTACGCCATTGCGCTTGTCTGGATGCTGGACGAGAACAGCCCGAGAAAGCTGTATCGTCTGAGTTTCCACTCGCAGACCCTAGTCGCACTGGTGTATGGTGCTATACAGTATTACAATCAGTTTATCAACAATCACTAGATACATATTTAGAGTCTGTATACTATTAGACTCACATAAAGAAGGCATTACCAGACAACGAGCTCAGTCGCAGCTCGCAGTCATTGTGAAACACCGTGTGAGAAGCGAGCGTTTCCTTAAAGGGTTCAGATCCGGTTACGGCCTCAATCGAGATCAGCATCAGATTGGGCGCTTCAGTCGCGCCGTCTCCGGTTCGAGATGTGCCAAGTACAACTCTTCAAGTTCCGTATTTATACCACGGAATGGGGAACCTTCGTCCATACAAAATCTAGCCGACCGACTTGAGGCCGCCACAACGTTTACCATCTCATGTTGCCTGAGCAATGCGAAGTAGTAAATAACTTCCTCGTAAGTTGTACGAATCATCTATTTTGAACGAATGCTGATTTCAATTACATCGAGGTAAGGCGCGGTACCACGCCCATGGAGTGGCGCCTGCTCTAGCATGATGGTCAGTAAGCAAACAAGTTTTGTTAAACCTCCTGTCATTCTCGGAGACACTATAACGAGCTAGAGTGGGAATTACAGAACACACAGCACATGCTCATGGTGATCTGCATATGAGCTTTCCGCATACGTCACCGTCCACCCCACCTGTGAAAGAAGCCTTATCTTTCGAATGGAGCACACGGCCCTCGACACGGACGCCCTTGAGAGGGCGTATCAGTCAGGGCTATCAAACGCTCTTGTTTGACGCCGCATTGCATTAGCGCGAAACGGTGGCATAGAACGGGGTACAAGAGAGAAAGAAAGCTACGATTCGATGCAGTATGGGTGAGCGCGATATCTTAGTGTTCGAGGTTACGATAAGCCATAAGGCGTAGCGCAGTCCGTCCCCTCGGTATGAGGCCAGATCCTCAATTGAAACAATGTCCATGGAGAAGCAATTGCCTCGCTTTGGCAGCCATGTTAGCGCGGCTTTGGAAAATCAAATTTGTTTCTTCTGCGTGAGATGGTGATCCGCGCGTTGTATGTGACCGATGCTGAAATAAAGCGGCTCTCCTGCGAAGCCGAGAAGGCCTGGAGTGCTCAACGATATACTCGATAATTGTTATACACCACGTTCCTGACCCACGCTCAGGACAGAATCCAAAACATTTTGATATTGAGGTACGCGTTTCTCGCGTACCTCTTACAGAACTCCAGGCATTGTTGGCAATATCGCCATGCTACTGACATCTGTCACTCTCCACGCTTTCTCTCTTTGACCCGCCGGCTTGGACACGTTGAGACTGCACGCGGCTCGTAACGGTTGAAACTATCCGTCAGGGCGGCTATATTAAACTGAGGAGGCTGTCCCGCAGCAACGTGGTGCAACAACTATCACAATGCACCATAAGGGGATGCTTTCCCATCTACGGCGAGTGTCAAGTGCTACAGAGCAAACTGGAGTCGACGTTTCCGCGTACTCGATGTTGCGGTGCTTCGGCCTGATTTGGTTAGAGCTTCGTCGGTCTCCCTCGATAGGGAAGCTGGATCCCGAGATTCGGATCTATGACTGAGGGACGTTCCGTTCTGTCGGAGCTAGCGTATGCGTTCGGAAGATTAAGCTCGAGAATGACAAGACGCGCACACTTTGAATTCCACATGCTTCTTCCTGGGCTGGCGCTCCGTGTCGCATCATCGCCGCACGTCGAAGACACAAGGCGGCGCTGGCCACTAGTTGTTGACGCGCCTCTCTCTAGAAGCTACAGCGACAAAGAGCGATCTCCGTACAAACCGTTTCAGTCGTACTGCCTGTGTGCTCCTAGCGGACGCCAATCATACCCCCATGGAGAAGGCCCTGGCTACAACTGCTATGTACATCGCGCCATATCGCCCAAGGTCCAACTGTCAACGCGCAATCAAATGTCACATAGACATGCCAAGTTACCCCATTCTGTCATCGATGGACGCCGGCACGCCGAGCCGTGTAGAGATGCGGTGATGGCGATCACTGCCATGAACTCATAATCACAGCCAGACACTTAGCGGTGACAAGGGTTAGACTCAAACAGTGCTAATCTGGGTATTCAGCTACTACCAGTCGCGTAGGTGGCGAATAAACTCTATACAGCACAGATACAGTGGGGCCAGTGGCACATTGCGGGTTTTCCGCAAACTATATTTCGGTCAGACGTCGCTCATCACAAAGCTTCTGTCTTTCTTATTCGATTGCGCATTGATCATGAAAGGATCCTCCAGGCTTTCTGAAACTTCGGATGCTGATTATGGGCGCACCGCCTGTATCGCGCCTTTCAGATAGACCTCGGCACACGCGCGCTGGAACATAAGATGACATGGCCACAACGTTCGTTCGAACAAGAGTCGCGTTTCAGGGTGTGCAGTATTCGTAGGGTACATCTATTCGCTGATTGAATTGACAGTAGTCACGGATAACGCGTCAGATGCGCCAGAAACGATAACTCACGCACAGGTGTACCACTGGAGCAAGATTCAAGACCATCTGTCCTGCGCTTTGACTCCCGATCAACGGCGTGCAGCCACTTTGCGAATCTCGGGAAGTCCAGATGGGCTTATCGCTTACTGTCATAGCGGTCTGGTACCGCGGCATTCAAGGGTGCCGGTGGAAGCGGGCGAGTTCAATCCGTGATGGGTACTAAATCCGGTCTCGAAATTACTGTCTTGGCATGAGACAGACGTTGGGAATTGTATGATATAGCCTAGCCATCAAGAGACGACAGTATCGAGACAGCCTGCGCAAATGTCAGGCCAATGTCTTGACAAGCAGCCTTTGGCGAAAAGATTGATATGGAGAGCAAAGATTCAGGATTTCTCTCCCGTTTAAAACTCCGGGTCCCGCGGCCGCCCACGTGGGAAACTCTCGATCTGTGTGATGGGAGATCTAAGCCCTGAGCGATCAGGCTGACACACTTGCGGTTCCCTCTGCATCACAATCATCGCAGCTCGCCAGCCTCGAAATTACTGTCACCGAGTATATTTACCATATGCGGCGAGTCTGCGATTAACGCTTGAGGAGTACACTTAAATCGCTCCGGACGGTCAGCCCGACTCTCATCGCCTTTCCCTCCAGTATCTACACCTATTCTCACCCTTCTAGATTTATTCAATATCTTCTCCCATATTTATACTATCACAATGGGTTCTATTGATGCTTTTGAATATGATCCCACTTGCTTCGACTACGACACTCTCAGGTACACCCTTGCCCGCCACTCGGAATGGCGCCAGTCGGATGAGAAGGTATGCAGCATCATTTATGTGGGTTCTGGTCACTTAACTGTATTTGTCAACAGAGCGTCTTGGAGCCTTACACGTACTTGATATCCCACTCAGGGAAGGACGTCCGTGGCCAAATGATCAACGCCTTCAACGAGTGGCTTCACGTCCCCAAAGACCAACTAGCGATCATCGGCAGAATTGTAGGAATGCTTCATAACGCTAGCTTACTGTGAGCGGAACCCATCATTATCAATTGAAGCTTGCGCCTAACGTATACGTTGAACGCCCAGCGTCGACGATGTCGAAGATGACTCACAGCTTCGGCGCGGTAATCCTGGTATGTCCAAGAATATTTTACACAAAATGTAACGGCTGATCTCTTGTAAAAGTGGCACACAAGATCTACGGCATCCCGCAAGTCATTAACACGGCGAACTACGTGTACTTCCAGGCATTCCAGGAGGTCTCAGCGCTGCAGGCGTCCTGCGACAAATATGACCTTCACACCATCGTCATTGGTGCGCAGTACAACCCGAGGAGTGGGATTCATGACTTACCCGGTGTTTCAGACGAATTGCTCAACCTCCATCGCGGGCAAGGACTCGATTTGCTCTGGAGAGATACACTTACCTGCCCGTCTGAGCAAGAGTATATCGCCATGGTTAACAACAGTACGCAACGTGACTCTGCAATCTTTTCGCCGTGACTCACTATGAAATTGCGTATCAGAGACGGGCGGTCTTTTCCGCCTTGCGGTCCGGCTGATGATGGCCAACGCCACCACAAGCGTCGGGGTGTGCGTATCTCCATCCTACGGGCTTGAACAATACTGAAACAGATGGAAAAAGTGACTTCATCCCGCTCGTCAACTTGATTGGAATCTACTTCCAGATCCGTGATGATTACTGCAACCTGCGGTCAAAGAACGTTAGCATCGGCCTTTCCGCTATCTGAAGGCACGAGACGGTGGCTAACGCATTTGTCTGATTAGTACGCGGCAAACAAGGGTTACGCCGAGGACCTCACCGAGGGAAAATTCTCCTTCCCCATTGTCCATGGTGTGAATACCGACCCCAACGACCGGTCGCTCCTCAGTAAGTTTCACCTTCGTCCCGGCCGCTTTCGCGTGCTCACCAATCGTCGTAGGCATCCTGCAGAAGCGCCCCTCGACCCCGACGCTCAAGGATCACGCCGTGTCGTTCCTTGAGAACCGTACGCGCTCGTTTGACTACACACGCGACGTGCTGCAAAAGCTCGAGCGGCAGGTGCGCGATGAGCTGGCCCGGCTGGGTGGTAATGCGGGGCTCGAAGTTATCGTCAATGCACTATCCAAGACTGAGTAGAGGAGCATCATTTTGTGCCATAGAACTGCCTAGACTTATCCTACAATCGTTCCTCCTTTTATTTATGATATTGCTGTTTGTACCACTCTGTACAGCAGGAGGTGGAATGGGATTTCATATATAGGGCTCCCAGCGAGCAATGTCATCCACCTTATTGAGACTGCCTAATATGTGGGCTAAGAATTAGGCGAGATGCATTCCGGGGTAAAGTTCATAGAAGGGCTGCCCACATAACCCTGCTCGTCCAATGTGTGGCGCTAGCGAGAAGTGTGTTTCACGGACGCTGGCATATATAACCCAGGGAACCCGGGGGGGACTTCACAATTCCCTGTTTCCCCTACAGTACTCTTGTACGCATTGTCTCTCACTACGGCATCGAGAGCGAGAGCTAACTGACCAGTTGTTTTTTAGTTTTGTCCAGGGACAAATGGAGATACTCCCTTCCTTCGTTGCTGCGCCCGTTCAGAAGATGCGCCTGGTGCGATCTGCCCTGCACGGCCACCTGCGCACCTTTCCACGACTTCTGGCGACACTGCTTTCCAACGACAATGTGCTTCTTGATCGCGCAGCGCGTCCTGTGCCTGCCCGAGTCAGATCACTTGACGTGCCCATCCTGTTCAGCGGCCCTGCACGTCCAACAGCACAGTTACGCGACTACATCAGGACATTGCAGATGCATGGATTGATGCGCCCACACATGCCCGTAGCGAGGGCTGTGAAGGTTCCCCTCGAATTACCCGATCCGGAGCTGTTCGATGGACGTGCGCGGCGGAGGACGCGGGTGCTGTATCGTAGTGTCTGATGGTGAGGATGTCATTCTGTGTGAAATATAGACGGAGCGAGGTGAGTGGCGCATCACGCTGTCGAAAAGTCTGATTGACCCACGTGGCTACGCATACGCTAGATTATTGTGATGCTGCAACGCACCTGCGACATCATAGACAAAGTGCACGCAATCCCTCGCGGACATTATAAGCCGCGGTAGAACGGAACTAGGACGTATAGAGTCTAGAGAGTGGTTCCTGTACATCATAATAACTCAGAAAGTCTGTTTCGCATATTTAATATTTATATTATTGTCCACAGTGCCGCGTTGTCATGCTCGAATGTGCAGTCTCTGGCTCGAAGAGTTTACAGGTCTTTTAATTGCTCTATAGCAGTGCATGGCTTGCGAAGGCACGCTATATTGACATGTAAAGCCATTATTTACCGTCAAATCACTATGGTGGAACCAGTCACGTGACACACGGGCGTCTGGCCGTCATACTTGGCAGCAAATTTGGTGGCTCTCGTATAACCGCCACTTAATATGGACCAGTATCGTGCGAGTCCTCAGACGGCCATACGACTACAGTCGGGACGACTACAAACGACGGCGACTATTCCCACACTAGCAACGATCCAGCCACGCCAGGCGCTAGCGCCTGAAGGCCTGAGATACGCCGACGAAGTCAATATTACCCTTCGTTTCAGAGTTGAAACAAAGTTCATACAGCCCGACTTCATCTTGCAGGCATCTCTGTGCGGTTTTCCATACAATTTGAAGTCACAAGTCACTCAACAGCAGCCAGGCGCAGTCATTGGCCCCTCGTACATGTCTCAGTCGGATGCCTGGGTGCCTGGCTGTGTATCGGCACTATATCGACGGTAAATTACGCACGCGGAATAGCAGACCGTGTCTGCGCGAGCCGTAGACAAGTCGAGACGACGTCTTGACTATCATACAGTCGATGATTCATTGCTCTAGTTGTTCCAACGACTGGGGTGACTGACAGACGACTCGCACAGAACTGATACGGTCTAGTCGGCGATGGTTGCTGGTCTTGCGTGAGAGTGCTCCAGAAGGGCACGGTGTGTACCTGCCCGCAAATGGTGAGAGGAAGGGGGGGGCGAATATCTTCGCTACCCGGCGCGCGGGTCGAGCAGAGAACATCACACGTGTGGCGAACCGGTGCGCCCGACGTGGCGGGTGGCACCTTGCTAGGGCCCGCATTGACGAGACTTGCATGAAATGTTTTAGACCCTAAATATCCAACGCGCATTCTAAGACTTGCAGCTCCCCTAGTCGACTTGGTGACCTGGCAATGTATTAGTCAGTCACGGTCCATTTATCGGGAGTCGGCACGTACATTGCATCTATTGATCACTGTTCTACACAAGCTTAACAACAGTCAAGGTTCTTGTGAGTGCTATCTAACGGAGCGCGAGCACGCCTGTCGAGTAATCCTGTGCGTACATCCTCTTTCGACGTTTTATTTGTTATACATATGATCGAGAACAGCTGAAGCGCTTCTTCAATAACAGTCCGGAGCAGCTGTATTTTCAACCCTTTTTTTGATACTGATGAACAGAAACTGGCCTGCTCCAGGCTAACCGTATGTTATTTGTCTCGTTAAACATAATCGTGCTGACACTGACTCTATCTCGCAGCGGCTATAGCTTGACCAGGGCTCTTCCCCCAGAATCATTGGAGAAATAGCACTGGCATATCAGTAAAGAGACGTGGGTGGCATGCGTAGACGTGCACCTCGTTCACGACTGCCCACCAGCCAGAACTGACCACTCCCGCCCGATCACTACGGAAATTGTGTCCTAAACTTGTACAATGTAAAGGCTTATTGAATATCTGACGTTCGTGAAATGACCGACATCCGTCTTGATTAGGAGTGGAACCGCGACTGCAGACACTTCCACCTCATGATTGCTCTTAATGGAAGACCTGCCCATGATGTATGGTCTGCGTTGTCTTGCGCGTTGTGCTTCAAGAGGTTATGCTCGCATCCGATCGGCCACTCGAAGGCGGAACCTAACTGCCATGGCCACGCCACACGTCGGGGTCCAGAGTGTCTACATCTACATCTATCGGAAGGGCGCGATACACTCCACCCATTATCTAGATCCGAAGTTTCAGGAAGCCCGGGGAATATGCGACAGAGCTAATAATAATGCGGCTATTTCATCAGAAGTGAGCGCAAATTTGTGCGTCTATTCGACTGTCTTGGCGGGCGACATCCGACCGAAAGACAGCCAGAAAGGCATCCAATATACCATCGGCGCCACTGTATCTGCGCCGTATCTCGTTTCATCACGCATGAGTGGCCGTTCGTCACTTAGACCGCTGACACTGGCTGTAATCCCCAGGTCATCGATCTATCAGTTTAACGGCTGCTATATGTAATTGCCATCCGAGTGTGATTGCGAGTGCATGGCGGCAATCATCATCACTGTATCTCAAAGTCCCCATCTCCCGCCATTGATGACATTGCAAAGTAGGCTCAGCGTCCCTACAAAACCGATGAAGTGAACGAGGAACTGATCCATCTCTGGAAGGAAGACGAAGCGATATGTCCTCTAGAAGGTGACGCGCGTTGCTGCGTCTGCAAAAAGCCGGGCGCTTTGTATCGCGATTCTCCCTAACCCCGCACAATTGACTATACCTAAGGCACAAGGAACCATTCAATACTCAGCTCCAATATAATCACCTCCGCTTGCTATCGGTGAACATAATGGTTCGATGGCCTGATTTACTAGGGTAACATAGCGTCTGATCCTTAGCGCGTCTGATCCTTAGCGCGTCTGACATTGCCGTTGGACACAGCCATACTCAATTTCGAGTGCAGCTCAAGAGCGGTATTGACTAGGCCACTCATTTTCCGCTCTGTTTCCATACTCAACAAATGCTCAATTCTGGCTCTTCTCAAGCAAGAGCCAGAAGCCGACTACTCACCTATCACACGCAGTACTAGCACCGACCGACTATATAGGAAGGGCTGACGATGCACCTGAGGTTCCATATGTCAAGTATGCGATTCCATTCATAGCCCAGTATTTCCGGCGCATGGAGTGGTGCAGATGACCCCGAAAGCGACGGTCTCTACAATGAGCAGAACGGGAGCAAACAGTTCAATACGGGTGAACTCGTTGCAGCAAGATGTCTTTACAATACCACTACGTCAGATAACATAACATCCGGACGATCCTTGTGAAGAGACGGCTCGGTGAATGATGGCAACCTTTGTGAGGCAATCGGTACGACCGGTAGGTTCATGTACATGCCACAGTCGTAGGTAGGGATGGGTTCGTTACGAGCTTGTGCACCGCAACAACATCTGCTGGACAGCAGAGAATGCTGCCATGTTCCATATCTGAGAGGATTATGTCAGACATCGATATCCTTACAGTGTGACAATGGGCGAAGCCTACCTGCATGCACAACAAGGCAGAAATCGCGAGGGTGATTGGGACCTCACAAACTCTGCCAACAGCGCGTGCATTACACTAATCACCATGGCTGCTCGGTTTGCATTTTTAATTCTGGTTGTACCCAAATACTCCCGTTATCGAACAAGGAAATGTGTGACGAAGCCATTTTAACGTCCAATTTCGTCGACACGGTCTTTTACAAGCAATATTTGCGGTCTACAGATAAAGCCCACCCGTATTACCTTGAGGGCATCCCAAAGTCCGTTTGGTGCGTCGAATGACCGGAATAAGACAAGCTGCCAGCACTTCCGCTCTTACGTGACGCGACGCAGAAACGCACGTGCCGTCACAGTTCAGTCAACGCCACAACGAGCCACTCGTTCACTTTGTCTATAAAGATCGTCAAACTGAATGTCCACTTTCTCCGTTACACAAGCTTAGAACCACTGACTGGTCTAACCATGGCTCCTCACAAGTTAGAATGCAAACCTCTGGACAAGACGCATGTCGCGCGGGTTTCCATTTCACCACCACTGACTTCGACGAATGACGTACTGAACGAAGACGTCCTGCTCATGATTGTGTCTTATCTCGCCGCCCCTGACATCCACTTTCTTTCCGCCACCTCGCGGCAGCTGAGCTATGTCGCACGTCCCCGAGTACTTGCGAAACTGGTGATCAAGAGGTTCCACGAATTCGACAAGGCCTACGAGCTCTACATGTCCGACGGACCGGGACGACTCGAATACCTCCGCGAGCTCAAGACATGGCTAGGTGACAGGTTCGTTAAGCGAATTGCGGTGTCCTTTGCCGATCTTTTGGAAAAGGCGCCGAATCTGCAGCATATTGTGCTCAATAACGCAGAAACATGGCTATGAATATCACCACGTATCGGGATGGCAATCCAGAATTTTGACAATATACAAGACCTCTCACTATAACAAGCAGGCAAGCGGACACTGCACGTTCTCCGGGGTATGCGAAGTAGGCCCTCGGGACTGTATATTGACTGCGAGCGTCGTCTAATAAGCTGGACAGAACCTGACTGGACTCCTGACTATGGGGAAGTGATGAAAGCCGACTGGAAACTGCCCTGGTACGATCTTGATTCAAGAAGCTTAGAGAATCTACCTGTTACCTTCCAAGCCATCCTTGACAGCCTCTCCCCACACCAGTCCGCATCGATGTTCTACATCAATCTTATGCATAATTTGCCCACAGCACCAGATCCTGTCACGGTGCCACAATGGCCGCACGCCCACCATCTTGAAGTCTCTTTGGCGAATACAGAACATCATCTCTCATCTCTATCGTGCACGCATTCCTGAATTTACGAACTCTTCGTATCTCTGGGCCTAAAGACGGAGTTGGTCTACTCAATGTGAATGATGTGTGTTGACCACACCTTGACTACGTTTATTTATGGTTCCCCACTATGGGTTACTGGGGGATCACATGTCCAGTGCACCATTTGCGACTCTGGCACATCTGGGATGAGGATATCCTCGGATATAGGCCTTACATTGCCAAGGACTCCGTAGCAACTCTGATGTCGCTGCGAAGGATGTCGCCGGTCATCTTGACGCTCGAAGGCTGGGTCGCATACTTGTATTTCGGGACAGACTCCACGCACTGGCAAGCGCTAGTAGATGTTGCGCCTCGACTGCGCGTCATAGCTATAGATTTTGGGTACCTCAAGAGTCGTGACTGCGATGACTGGACGGTGAGTCTTCCCACATGCTGTGTATGCCAGATTGACCATAAACGAATAATTGTCTCCAGGTACAAGTGCCCCGGGCTCTCATGCGCTCTAATATCGTAGGCCTTTTGATCTATCAAGGCGGTCGCACCGGCTCGTTCTGGAAGCCACTCGTATGTGTGCTGCCGTCGTTACGGTACCTGGCAACGACTGAGGGCGAAACAAATGAGTATCGATGGCATGGCGAAGACAAGGAAACACCCGGAAGATTAGATAAGCACTTGCGATGGCGTTGGTGGCGCGTTGTGGAGGTGAACGGCATACGCGAGGCGGTCCCGATGTCGGCCGAGGTGGGTGCGCGCATTGCGAGTTATCTGTACTCCCCGGAATGCGACTACAAGCTTGACTTCGACGGTGAGCACCCCTAAAATGAGCTGCATAACACATTCCTGATGGTGTTACTCCTTCGCAGAATCAATGTTCGCGTGAAAGATCACTGACTTTAGCTCAAAGCTGGAAAGGTAGGTTGTGCAAACTATACAAGGCGGATGTAAGCCTGGAATGTGCAAGGGTGATACTTCAAGAGCGGAAGGGTGGGTTCATCGTCTCGAAGATCTGTAGTGGTCGTTTGTTTCGGCACGTTTTGTGGTTGGAGAATGTGTCATGAACCTAATAATCGAACTGTACTATATGTCTGAATCCACTACAACATGATTGTAGCACGATGAACCTCATAAGTCGCATTCAAATTCGCCAGGAGCGATATGTACAGTGCGGATCCTACGCCTTCTCGTCCAACGACACCTGCTCGTGCACCTCATGCTGTCAAACCAGAGTGAGCTGCGTTACAATTATCGTGTAGAGCCACGACACGAACCTTGTTTGCAAGCTGAACCTCCTTGGCGTCCTTCTTGCCCACGTCCCGATTGATCCGCCACGCGGTGAACATGTGTCCCTGGGCGAAGATGTCTTCGACCTCCTCCAGCGACCGTTGTGCCGTCTCTGGGAACATGAAGAATATGTGGATGAAGGCCTGGGATGCGCGTGCGGGTGTCAGTCAAAATGAGCATAAAGGGAGAAGGCGACATACGGCAAAGTTAAACGTTCCGAAGATGAAGTACGTCTTGTACGCGATGTTTGAGAGGCCGGGCGGAACGGCCCATGCTAACGCGAAGTTGAAGAGCCAGTTGGAAGCTGTAGAGGCGCAGGTGATGTGCAATAAGGAATACAGCACACATAAAATGGCTGGCACGTACCTGTCGCGACAGAGACTGCCTTCGCACGCACGCGCATGGGGAAGATCTCAGCCGGATAGGTCCACGATACCTGCAGGAGCAAGGTGAGGAACGTATTGCATTGTATACTTCGAGCGCCCTTACCGGGCCCATGGTAATCGCGAAGCTGCAGCGGAAACACCAGTTGTCAGCTTAGTGCACCATACGTCAAGCTGCCCACTCGACGCACCTGCATACAAACAAGTACGAGCACACGATGATCGCCTTTGTCGCGGCATCGTTGTCCGTGATGACCCACACCGCTGTGAGAGTCGAACCAGCAGCTCAGGATTATTTACGTATGCGCGGTAGGCAGGTACGCACGGGTGTCAGAGCCGTCGACAGAGCCCCAGTGCCCGAAGCGGCCTTGCAGCCCGCCAACGAGCATGAGCCAGAAGCCCATGAGCAGCGTCCCGATGAGCAGCATGGGCCGGCGGCCCCACCTGTCGATGTAGATGATGGCGGGGACTTTCGACCGGAGCCATACGCGAGCAGGAACGCACGTCAGCGAGCAGACACACAGGTGAAGGGGATAGCACACGCACCGGTGAGCACGACGTTCAGCACGTACTGGATCGAGTCTGCAATCAGGTTCCCGCGCCGGCCGGTAAGGCCCGCACCCTCAAAGACGTAGATGATGTAGTACATCATGATGTTCATGCCCGTCAGCTGGCTCCACATCTGCAGTGAGCACCCGAGCACGACGCGCCGGAAGATGCCCGGCTTGAAGAGGTCGAGGTAGCTTTTGGCGCCCTGCTCACGGTCGAACGTCACCTGCTCTTGGATCTCCGCGTACTCGAGCTGCACGAGCGGTGTGTTCATGTCGCCACCGCCATGCAAGTCTGCGAGGATCGTGAGAGCCTCGGAAGATCTGGGTAATGTCAGGTCAGAATGTATGTAGTGGAGTTCCGCAGACACAGCATACCGGTCGTGGTCCATCAGCCAACGCGGACTCTGCAAGATATGCCTAAACGTAAGGTACTACATTTAAATTCCACAGGCGCCGTACCTCGGGGAATAACATCATGCCCAGCGAGAGGATGATGGCGGGTATCATCTGCAGGCCCCACGGGATGCGGAACGATGCTTTTCCATTGATGTACGAGCAACCAAACTCAACAAAGTATTGCAGCAGAATACCCCACGTAATGGACCTATTCGCGGATGAAGCGGAGTGGGAGAGAAGAGAGCGCACACGTACCATTGCTGCATAGAGACGAGCCGCCCGCGAATAGCGGGCGCGGTGATCTCAGACTGGTAGATAGGCACTATCGCGGACGCGATGCCAACCGCGAGACCAGAGATGACCCGTCCGGCGACAAGCATTCCACGGTCCTATCCGTGGGCAAACACGCAATAATGAGCAGCGCTCCTCAGGCAGGGGAAATGTTAGATGGCAAGTGCGTACCACAGCAGCACATTGGAGGATACTCCCAATGACCCAGATCCAGCCGCTAAGGATGACGATGTTCTTGCGCCCGAAGCGGTCTGCGAGCGTGGATACGAGGAGCGCGCCGAAGAACGAACCCGCAGGCATCGCGGCGACAATAGCGCCCTGTACGTTCGAGGTGGGGTGACCGAACGTATCCTCGTACGCGGGGTTCTGTGCGGAGGGCCTCTCAGTGGCTTCGAAAGATAATAGATATTAAAGACACACATTGAGCACCCCGGACATGGACGATATGTCCAGTCCGAAGAGACCGCCGCCGATGCATGCAAAGGAGCCTGGGTGGCGTCATGTTAATGGTCAATTTGGTAAGGCGGGGAAAGTACGTACCTACGATGTACTATAAAGCAGGCGGCGGGCGACGAGGCATCCGTAAGCAATCAATCATCGTGAACGCGCAAGTAGTATAGAAACACATACAGGGTTAGAGGCGATTCTCGGGCTGTACTGCAACACGGACAAGCAAAATCAGTAGTCGATCGTACTGTTAGTCGAAGGAAGAAGGGAATACTGACACCTTTACCCATGGCTCAAAGCTTAGCTGAGAAGCGTCCCAAGGGGAGGGAGAATGTAAGGGTGGGAGGCGGGAACGCGCAGAATTCTCCCGTCTAAAGTCTATTTATTCGGAGGGCATGGTACGCCCCGCCTGCACATAGACATGGCGAGCATGGCCATGTGGCAGCCAGCCAAGGAGAGATTGAGATTTTCTCATGAGATTGAATACGAGCTGTCAAGGCGGACCGTGTACGCGGTTCAAATGGTGAATACCGCCATCAGAGAAGCTGGATGGCGCGAAGTCATGAGGCCACCACGCAAGGCACGGGGAAGGGGGAAATGATCGTTCATGTTGGACAAGGACAGGAATCGAAACGATTTGAGGCTTGGCTGTATGGATCGCATGGCGACGGCTACGCCATTGACCCGACCGTAGAGCACTCCTGACCAAGTGGAACAACGAAATGCCAGTATCCTGTGAACCGTCCATGGTGCGGCAGAAGTAGTGCAGTGCACTCAGGGTTACTCTTTCACGATGTCTGGCCTGGTTGTAGGAGATCGGAAACATAAGAGAGGTACGCCTCAAAACCAAACGCGGCAGGGAAAGTGGGGAATCAACGATCGAGATCTCGATCAACTGATTGGGTGTGCATCTCCGTCTCATGACTGCCGCGTGACCGAGACCCAAAGCATTCGGCCTGACATCAACACGCGGGGCGCAACAACAGAAACTTCTCCGCGTCCAAAGTGAGATGGCTGCAACTCTTGGAGATGAACGAAGAGAGGTCGATAAACAGGTCGCGCATCCGCTTTAGCAACAGTCGCGAAGCTAAGATGGGTTATGGGGCCTGGGCAGGCTGAAACTACGTTAGCCCTGAGCACTCAGGTCCCGCGTTCTCTTCAGCGATTTTCAGCTCGTACCTTGATGCATGGCTCACCCCACGGGCCAAGAGACTCCGGCAGACGGGCCAAGGGACCACTCGAACGTTGACAACATCCGTGAAATGCAAGCGCACGGTAGCGCGAAAGTTTTGTACCTCAGACATACAATGGTCATAGATGAACCACCGTGTTCTTCCTGAAAGAGAAGATAGAAATGCTCAACTGTTGAAATGCCCGGTGACAAGTGCGCGGCGCGGCGCGTCGTATGGAACAGAGGTGATATGTGGGTAAGTTTGCGCACCACTTGCACGGCCCAATGGTCTAGTAGTATGATTCGCGCTTCGGGTTGCTGAAGTGTTTCCGGGATTGCGCGAGGTCCCGGGTTCAATTCCCGGTTGGGCCCTTATGGTTTTGACATTGTTTCGTGGCTTAATAAGGTTCAGGAGACAAGCAATATTTCTTGGTAGCATACGTTTTGTTCGAAATGATGATAATACTAGCTCACTCTCATGCAACAATCACCGACACATCTAGGATACATCGCGGACACATATGAAGGCAGGAGGACATAATCCTAACTCGCATCTCAGCGTCTTTCCTTCGCATTCTTACGCACAGCGCGCCGAGACGTACGCCTCTCCACATCCGAGTCCCGCGTCCCACCCAGCATCCCGCCAGACTCCAACGCCTCCTTCGCAACCGCCGAGATGCACCTCCAGCGCGCCCCGCCGAGCTGCACGCCGCCGTACCAACGGTACACGACCAGCATGACATCGTCGGCGCGCCCCAACTCGAGCAGGCGCTCCAGGCGCGCACCCGCGCCCGCCTCGCCGCCGTCCATGCTCCCTGTACGCGCCGGGATTTGCGGCAGCGCAAGCCTCCAGGCCCACATCGCGTGCGTGGCGCGTTTGATGCGCGGAGAGAGGGTGGTGAGGTGCGCGAGCAGGTACGGGACGTAGCTCGCGGGGTCATCAGCCTTGGCGGCGGCAGTAGTGCTGGAGAAAGCGGAGGGAAGGCGCACTGCATGTGCTTGAAAGGACGACTTGAGGTGCGTGAGGACCGCAGATGACGCGACGCTCTGCGGCCATGGCGGCTCGGGGTGATCACGTCCGCGGTGTGCGCGTGTGTGCTGCTTGCAGATGTGAGAGTTGAGTAGTCGGCCGCGGACCGCACGTATGTATGAAGGACATATTGCCGGCCTGTAGCATCGCTCCAGAGGTTTATAATAGACTGCCGTGAATGGGCTGCATGCAAGAAGCATACCCGCCCGTGTTGGTGCTCATGGACGAGAAAGACATGCGAAGCGCCCGCCAATCCATGTCGCATACTCTCGAGCTCCAAAGTAACGTGGGTTCATGCCCTTTGGGAATGGGCACATAAAGTTGATTGTATTTTGGAGAAAGACGGGTCTGTACAAAGTGCGATGACCTCCAGAAAGTCCAAGCAAACCAAGAAACACCCAGCAAGTATGAGGCATATATAAGTCAGCGCGATGCAGCGGTATATAGCAGACCCATATATCACCCATAGTCCGAGTAGATGCACGGGGTAGTAGCTCCGAGGAAACGAGAGGATAGGATATCATGGTAGGTATGAAACGACAGCATAACGGGTGGGTTATACAACGACGGCGGGGTAGTAGATACGTACAGATGGGTTGACGTAAACGACTGAATCAGATGTGATGTCCATGTAACGATTGAGATTGGGTAGAACAGACGCTAACGGGGGGCACACGCTAAGAGTCGTCCCATGACGGCCAAGCGTGGACTTGGTTCAGCCGCGCCTGGCACAGGTTGCGAACCGTGACGTTGATGCCAGAGTGGTCTTCAAGCCACACGCCGCGCTCTTGACAGCTGCGCACGACGTTCATCCAGAACCGGACAACGCGCTCTGCCGGACGCACCGTGCGCATGCGGTGGCTCTTCGCGCTGAGGTCGCGCACGAAGCGCAGGTTCGGGAACGCGTCGCGGCGGAGCAGCGACGACATCTGCTCAAACAGCGTGAAGTACGCCGTGTCGGCATCCGCGTCCGCGCTCATGCTTGCAGACGAGAAGTCCGGGTCGTCGCGCAGGCGCTTGTCGATGTCGCGGATACCGATGAGCTGCACGTTCGGGTGCGCGGGCAGCAGGACGTGCGGCGCGATCCAGTCGGGCGACTGCCAGTGCCACTCGGCGTCCGCAGAGCACACGAACTCACGCAGGTTCGGGCACCAGTCCGCCAGAGGGATCGGCCGCCGCGCGCCCGCCGCGGCGGTCTGCTGCGCGTGCAGGATGTGCCGCGGGGTGGTGAGGTAGTGCTCCTCGATGAGTGAGGACGAGTGCCCGAGCTCGAGCTGCGTCAGCTTGGAGCCGTGAGCACGGAAGAACTGCGCGAAGCCCGCGCCGGTGTAGCAGAAGTCGGACGAGAGCACGGAGAGGTTCGTGAGCCGCGGCATGTCCCACGATGCGAGCGCAGCAAATGTCGCGTTGTCGAGGGACACCTTGAGCGCGCGGAGGGAGGGTAGCGAGACGTTCATGTCCCTCTGTGCAGCGTCCTTGGCTAACGCAGGCTGCAGGGCTGCGTTGGGCGCATACGACGAGAGCTCGAGGTACTCAAGGCGTATCGCCAGGTTACTCTCCAGCGGATGCATGTGTAGCGGGAACGGCGTGTGGTCGTAATTCGTCCAACTGAGCCTGCGGATCGTCGCGTGTGCGACGAGGCGCAGGAGCTCCTCCGGGCTGCAGCGGGGATCGAGCAGATGCTCGATCTGCTGACGCTGGACAGATTGGTGATCAGAGAAAACGTGCAGGTGGGGCGCGTGGTCGAGGATCGTGCGCAGGTCGGCCGGGGTACAGCGCTCGAGCGCGAGGGTCTCAATATGCAGTCGGCGGATGTACTGCCCACTAGAGCCGTATGTCTTGTCTTCCGCACGGAGCATGGCAGCAAGCAGGCGCGCCTGGACGGAACGGCTGATCCAGACGAATTCGTACAGGAAAGGCCGACAGAGAGCATTCCACTCCTTTGAAACGAGCGACAGGGCGAGTTTGACACGCATGATGTACCGGTAGCCTGTAAGCTGCATCGTCGCTGATTCAAGGAACGAAAGCTCCTGCGAGACGTCCAGCGGGTCGTGGTCTAAGAGGCAGGCATGCTGAATGATGATACCCCACACTTCAGGTGGGATGGACGGCAAATTGCACACCTGCGGCAGAGGTTGCCTGCTCCGAGATCTGCAAAATAGTGATCAGCGATGTCCGACGGGTGCAGTATGCTTCTGAAGAGCCTCATAAACTCAAGCCCCGCTGTATGATGCTTTGGCAAATGATAAACTCGCTGAATTGTGCTATGCAAGACGAAAAGAAGGATGAATATGGGGGGCATCCACGTTGTATAAAATAGTGTTCAGATGAAGTGGGGTGAAAAGGAACGTGATGTAGCCCAAGCTGAACTGAAGGGTGAGTTCAGTGTCGTACTCTCCTCGCCCAGAGCGCAAACGCGTCATAACCGCGTCACCGTCCGATAAACAAGAGGTGAAGCACAGGAGTGGACCTCGAGCAGAAGTGACCGATATAAAACACTTGAAACACAGCACTCACAAGACGAGACGTGATAATCCACGGATCGAGAGTTCTAATCACCAATCAGACCTCAAGCTGTCCAACCGCTGTTCTCGCACAAAGGCAGTCTGATGTCGTCATGAATTGGACGCGTGCGCACTACCGCAAATGGACAAGACTGGCAAGCGACACTCAGGAAAGACATGGTCACAGCCAAGATCTGGACAAGGCCAATGGGATACCGTTCGGGCAGGAGGCGGCCAAAGAACAGCTAAGCGAGAGAGACTAACCTCTTGTTGTTGCTGAACCTCTCGGCAATGGCTCGGAGACGATGCTTGACCTGCTGATGCCACGTCGCGTCCCGAGGCATGATACCGGCAGTGGGGACCTTGAACAGTCGCAACGTACAACGACGCAGGATTCAGACGATGGGGGCGTGAGACAGCCGTCCACTCGCGCGCTTCCCCGTCGGGCGCTTCGCGTCGGATACCAAGCAATACCGCGTGAACGCAGAGCCTATCAAGGCTGCCAACTCGGGCCTTCATTGCGCAACAAAAGGCCATGATAATTCCTCGTCTCGTCGTGGTAGAAGGTTATGTTCTGACGCCCTTTATGTGTCTGAACGGGGTGAGACTCATGAAATATCTCCAGAGCTTGCGTTTAGTTCGACACGTTCGGCATTTCAAGCTCCTTCGGTGTCTTACGAGGATCATGATGTCCTTCATGGAGGTCTAATTCCCTTGATTGCGAAATGGATCGGTTCATTGCAGGTACTTCGCCTCTGTTGGCGCTGAGATACTACGACTGTTAACTGAATGCCTCACTGTCAGTTCTTCCTTCTGTTCTCCTTAGGGCTGCCCACCGGAAAGCTGTTCGATCTGGATTACTTCTGCCACATGCAGATCGCCGGTATTCTCCTCTGGGTATTCTCGTACGTCGTCTTGTAAAAGCTTGTCGTGAACATCATGCCTATTTAGTCTGACGCTGTTTCGCAGACTTTCCATGCTCTCCCTCACCATTGTAACGCAGTATTATCAGTCGAGCCGCTCGCAAGGCATAGGAGTGGTCCTATGCGTAGGCATGCTGCTCTTGCCAACGATCTTCTTTCAAGCCCATAATTGGACGATTCACTGTGCACTCGTCATGGGTACCATCCTCGCAGGTCCGTCATGAGTTGATTTCCATGCCAGGTCATGATACTATCGTTCATCTAGCCTCCTCAACCAGCTCATTTACTCGGGCGCTAGCTTGGGCTGTGCGCGCGACCACTGTCTTTATGCTTGGCGTGGTATACATTGGGGCATGCCTTACTAAACGACGTCTTCCAAGTGCGAACAATTGCCCGCCAATCCCCATGTCAGGCATCAAAGGCATCTTCCGGGACCCGGCATACCTTCTGGGATCTCAAAAGCGTTGAGCCGGATGATCTGGCACAGACATCTACCTTCAGCTCACACGGCATATTATCCACATTCTCATTCTACACCGTAAGCCCGTACCTCCATCGCCCGCATTGACAAGCAACCGGACATTGCTCACGCATGGCCGTTTCATCCCCGCAGACTGCAATCCTCAATGTGGACTCGGTTTTCGGGCGACTACTCCTAAGCCGGCTCGCCGACTCATTTGGGAAGATCAACATGATCTGTACGGTGTCTGTTGTGGGCACCGCGCTGCTGGTTGCCCTGTTTGGCGTCAACTTCGAGGCCGTGGTCATTGTGTTCGCGATCCTGTACGCCATTTTCTCCGGGGCAGGCGGGCATCTCCACCGTGTCTAGCATTGCGCACCACGAAGGGCCTCTGCCAATGCTAACGTTGTGTCGCACCACATGACAGCTGCTTCGCTCCTCCCTCCCTTGCTGTCGCGGCGCGCTCGCAGTCAGAACTCGGATGCGGTATGCTCTGGATCTGTCCTCTGCGTTTCGCTCGGAGGATCAAACGTCTACACTGAGGACTCCGCCCGCCGTGCGTACTACCTCACATGCCGATGGAGGATACTATATCAAAGCAAAGTTTTGCCCGTAGGCGCGTGCAATTTTACCGCAGGTTTTGAGGAATGGGGGCGATAGGCATAGGTACGCCAGGGGCTCGTCAACGGTGCGCTGATTCCGACGCGATAACAACACGATGTACGTGCGCAGGGCGTTTGGCTGCGCTTGTTCGTCAATATGGTTCGCCTTCTATCTGGGAGGCCCGCACTGCTCTCCCTAGTGTCGGTGCTGATCGGCAACAAACCTAACTTCTCTGCGTTTCCAGCAGGCCACTCGGTACCCTCTTCGGCACACCCCTTAGCGCACCTTACACTGCCTTTTCAATGCTCGAAGCCCACCCACGCTTCTGCCTTCGTCACAACTGTCGCCCGTGCCCGGCGTAACACCATGAGGCGATCGCGAGGCGGGAGACTTCTTTATGTTCGTGTTCGGCCTGTACTCTCCGAGCTCCCCCATCCATCCCCATGCAATCTATGAACAATACTGTATTCTCGGACTACTCTAGGTCGGGCCACGGTCCTCCTACTGTATACATTCTCCAACGCTAACGCTGGTGAGGGAGGTCCCTCTCATCTCAACTGCCGTATCTCGCTCCACGTGAGGTCCTCCGATTAACCGAGGAACTCCCCGCCAGCACAGGAAGCCGCTACCTCTACTGTGTCAAGGAACACTCGGCAAACGAGATCACCTAGTCCCGTGAGCAGTTACGTTGCTCGGCTATCTACACACCTCAGAGTGAGCGCACATCTGAACCTGGCTTTTCTTCCTTCTTGATGTCGGTAAATGGCTACTGGCTCGATCAAACAATAAGGCCATGCATTGGAGAACTACTTAAGAGCGCCCGAATGACTCGCTAACCAAAAAACACGATGCAGACATCTTATTCGTAGGTAATGATGTGGACACTTGCTGCAAGCGTGCATTGCACAGGTTCACCAACCCCAAATCACAGGAGCCGTTATGCGACGCTCACCTCCGTCGGCCTGTCCTACATGCCTAAAGTCGTTCCGAAGCTTATCCTTGCTGTTGAGAATGGTATAAATAGGTGTTGCGGCACTCATACTTCCCATCCCCAGTGCAAGTCTCCTCAATACAATTCTCGTGCCACTGCCATATTACGATGTCTGAAAATCATCATCATCGAGTCCGCCTCACTCGTGGCATCCGCCGCTACCGACCCTATGTGTCCCGCGGTCCTCCTGAGGTGAGTATCACTTTGGATCGCTATATGACATGTCGCTTTACCCCATTCATAACCCTAACTAACTGAACATCCGGGTTGTCTGTTTGCAGCTCGAGAGTCGTGAGGTGCGCAACAGCCTCCTGATAGCTGCGTGGATGGTGATGGTACGCACATACAGTGTCCTTAATACTTCTTCACGGATGCTTTGTACCAGGTCCGCGCGCTCTCTCGCATTCACGAAGCTCAGCGTGATGCCGACGCCAAAATGGAAGGCGCTTGAGCTGGCTGTGTAGGACTTCTGTTGCCCATGGTACGCCCATTTGACACCTTCTGTGTTCGTTGCATATAACAATGTCTCCTGAAGGATGATCTCGAAATGCATGCATCCTGGCAATACTCGAGTCTCGGGTACGGATATAGTGCTGTTTGACTTAGTCGTGTTCCAGCTTTGTTGCGTGTTCTATTGCCTTGCTGTCCATTGTTCTGTTATCACCCAATTACATCTCGTTGTGGGGCCATCTGCATAGTCCTGCGAGAAAGGGCATGTTAGCCCGCTCCTGCAGCCGAAGACCTTCTAACAGTATTCATTGTATATCTTAATGATGTCAAATGTTCTTTGTCCTAACCCTCAGCGCACTTCACAGTGCCTCCTCAGCGCCCGGACCACCGCCCACGCTCCCGCCCTCGTCGCTACTTCCGCCCGTGCCCGGCCCGTCGCCCATCAGCGACCGCGACACGCTGCTATTCATCACGGCAGCGCGCTCGCGCCGTGCGTCAAAGCTCTCGGTAACGTCTTCGTCAGGCTACTCGCAGCGCAACTCGACGGCCACGCTCGCGAGCAATGCGAGCAGCGCCGTCCCCTCGCTCTCATCTTCGGCGGGCGCGACGCCTGCGGACTCGTCTCTGCGCTTGCTCAGATCGTTCCCGTCTAACGGCTCGCTGTCGGTGTACGCACGGCACACCGACAAGTCGCCCATGTCCGAGCCTCGCATCTGTGAGGAGGACCCCGCGGAGCTCACGCGCCTGTCGTCGACGAAGAGAAGGTCCTCGACCTCGGGCTCCCGGCATCCCTCCCGCGTCGGGCGCGCCATTCCGCGAACGACTCGATCTCGTCCGTCGACATGCGCAACCTCCCCCCGCTGCACGGAGTCGAGGTCGACGTGCCCGTCTCCGCGCCACCTGTTCTGCGATTCCATACCTCGCGCGCCTCCGACGACTTGTACGCGTCCGTCCGCAAGCCGACCAGCATCAACAAGGCCCTACCTCCCCTGCCCGCGGGCTCGCGCCTCCGACGAGCCTGCAACGGATCCGCGGTCAGACAGCCCAGACATCAAGACCATCCTTGCGACCACGCCCCACCTGCACCGCAACTCCTCCACGTCGTATCTGTCGGGCCGTTCGCGCTCGCAGCCGCGCCGCGCCGCGCTCCAGCGGCGCGTCAGCGAGGGTATCTCTAGCACGCGGCGCCACGAGGACGGACTGCGGCGCACGAGCGAGGCGTCGCTCCAGGTGCCGGCGCGGTGTGGTCGCCCGGAGTCGCCTACGGAGCTGGCGTACGCGCGCAACGTGTGGGTGGAGAACTCGTTCGTGTCAGACTATGGCGTGCTGCTGGACGGGACGGGCACCCCGATGGACGTCGCGGACGGCGAGGAGGCGCGCCTCGAGCGCGAGCTCACCGGGAGTGGGAGCGACACTGATTCGAGCATCGACATCCACACGCTCCTGCCGTGAGTGCTGCGTTCCGTGATGTGGTTGTGACGGCTGATGCACCACAGGAATCTGATGTTGCGCGATGGCTTGCTGTCGCCCAACTCGAAGCTTTTGCCACAGGCATCGCGCATGGGCACACCACTGTTGTCCAACGGCAGGCCCGGGAGTTTGCCCAGCGTAGCGTCCATTGGTGAGTCGCTGAATTGTTCGTGCGCGCGCATCCGACTGAAGTGTCGTCGTCGTTTCAGCCGACTCTGTCCTGACGAAATCGGGGCTGTATAAGCACGGACGCGACACGGCGAAGAGGCGGCACCGGCATCGCGACGGCAAGCTCTTGCGCGGCGGCATCGGTCTGACGACCGGGCTCGGCTGGAGCGACAGCGAGGACGAGGATGCGCCATCCCCGCTCACTCACAAGCTCTCCGCAAATACCCTCAAGAGGAAAGCCACGCCGTCGGCGTTTCGCTCACCACATCCCCTCTCGCGGATCGGCAGCGCGGCCAACCTTGGTACCCTCGCCAAGGACGGACGGCCTCGCGAACTGAGCCGCTCCCCCTGTCCATAGGATCGGCGCGTCAGTTCGAGCAGCGCCACTTCATCCACCGCTGGAGTTCCCTCCCGCACGTTTGTTTCCTCGCTGCGATCGACGTCTTCCGCGAGTAGGTTGGCTGCTGGGACCCTCGGCTACATCCACGAACGGGAGGAGACGCTCGAGTCCACATCCTCAACATCGAGCGCCAGCGTATCCATGCCCGTCACCCTTTTTGGGCATGATGAGCCCGGACTGTCTCCCATCCTTGGCTCGCGGAATGGGCGCACGATGCAGCGCCCAAAGTTGGACGCCGGGCTCGCGTTCATGGGCCGGTCGGTGAGTGGCGGAAGCAACCTTGCCGCCACGCCCTCTTCGCTGCCGTCAGCGCGGACGCCATCAGTGCCGCGACCACTCAAGCTACCACAAGTCCACGCTCAGAGCGGCATTTGGCATGCACGGGATGGCGCGTACCAGCCGACGCTGTCCGCGGCAGCACGCCCGCGCATCCCTCTGCCATCCCCTGCACTCGCCTCGCACGACGACGACGACTACGGACCAGCGCCCCTACCCTCTGGCACTGTTGTGCAAGAGAAGGACGGCGTACAGGAGTTCCCGGAGAAAGAGGAGAAGCGGCGTAAACAAATCTAATTCCTCATGTCTTTGCCGCTCTCACCGCGACTCTCTCTACAACGAGTCGTAGCCACAGAGCGGACTCTACCACGCACAGCAAGCGAGCAAACCAAAAGCACTGCAGCGCGAGGAATGGATGCTGAAGCCCCCCTCCTCGTCCGACCTCCTGGGCTGCAAGTCCCGCCCCGCCGCCCGCCCCCCTGCGCTCTAATCACCCCACCTACCCAGTGATCGACCCGACCCGCCTCACGCGGCCGCGCCAGTTCGCACGCGCGTCCGCGCCCGCGCGCAACAGCGACAACTCGCTCTGGACAGAGACGCCCGCCGAGCGGCTACAGCGCCTCGCCGACGAGGTCGCGGGGAAGCGGCGGTGCGTGACCGACGGCGCGCCCGACCCCGAGGAGGAGCGCGATGGCCGCAAACGCGCGCGGCACGATGTCGAGGTGCGCCGCGGCATCGAGGAGCACATGATGCGTCTCCATCCCCTTCCTTTTCCCTTTCCCGTCCCCGTTCCCTTTCATCTCCCCTCGCGCGCGGAAGGGCGTGGCTGACGCGATGCTCCGTTTGAGCCGCTGCGAGCAGAAGAAGGTGCGCAGCGGGATGCTCATCGAGCGGCATGCGCACGCGAGCGCAAAGCCGAAGGACAATGGCGACAGCGGCGGTGAGGAGAGCCCGCCGGCGATCTGGGACCACGCGCGCGACATGGCGCTGTCCGGGCGGCTGAGTCGCGCGAGAGGGCCATCCGCGACGCGCGCGGCCCTGGAGAGCGATTGGAGTCGGGCAAAAGTGGCGGATTCCTGTAATTGTGAGTGGGTTAATGGGACTGGGTAGGGAAGACTAGGTAGGGGATTCCGCTAGGGAAAACCCTAGGAAAGGCCATAGGAAAGGCCGTAGGGAAGGTGTAGGAAAGGCTGTAGGAAAGGTGTAGAAAAGGCCGTAGGAAAGGCCGTAGGAAAGGCCATAGGTTAGGCGGTTTAGTGTCGACCTGCCTTGCTGAAGGCTTGAGTGGCTGACTCGGATGACTTGGGTGGAATGCCGTCCACCCCCAAGTTTCGCCCGTATTTATGGGCTCTTCAGATCCGCTTGGTCAGCTGGTTCGGACGTCGCGAGGGACGAGCGACCGGGGCGCAGTAGGACGCCTGAGTAAGCAAGGACTCGACTGAGAAAGAACTTGCCATGAGACTTGTAGAATGAAACGCCCTGATTGGAGGGACGTTATGCTGATTGCTAAGCGGCCCGGCATAGGCCCGTGTTTGTAAGCGATATCAGCAAAGATGACTCAACCTGTTAGTAACAGAGTTTAAAGAAGCTTGGCCACCTTCCGCGGACAGACCGAAGTCCGTCCGAGAAGCATACCATGCGGACATCCCGAAGGCACCGTCCGTTTCCACTTCTATCAAACCTTCGAGATTAATCCGAACTTCTTGCGAAAGAAGACTTCTATGATCCGTGATCGGATCAAAGAACTCGGACCCGTCTAGACCGTGTCAGGTGACCATGACGTCATATCACGAGATCTACTACGTCATGACCATAAGCTAGGGTTAATGGGACTGGGTAGGGAAGACTAGGTAGGGGATTCCACTAGGGAAAACCCTAGGGAAGGCCGTAGGAAAGGCCATAGGGAAGGCCGTAGGGAAGGCCATAGAAAAGGTGTAGGAAAGGCTGTAGGAGAAATCATAAGAAAGGCTGTAGGAAAGGTGTAGGAAAGGCCGTAGCAAAGGCCGCAGGGAAAGCCGTAGGGAGAGTGTACAAAGAGCGAGTGTAGGGAAGACACAGAAAGAGGTGCAAGAAAGAGGGCAAGAAAAGGCCTAGGGGCCGTGCATGTACGTCCCGGACGCGATAATGCCAGACTATGGATGGAAAGAGTCGGAGGCGGCTTTCTAACAAGTGTCGTTCGT